TCCGAGGTGGAACGCGCGCGCGCGCGCGTCTCTGTCAGCGCCGCACTCGCCGCAGCCTCGCTCCCGGCCCGGCCTTCGCTGTAAGACACCTCCTCATTGGCCGTTCAGAGACAGGCGCTGGTTGGCCCACACAGAGCGGGCGTCTCCCGGCCCTCGCGGGCTCCGCCCTCGCGCGCCCGGGAGCTGTTGCCCCGGTTCTGAGCGGGATCGTCCGGTCTCACGCTCTCGTGGGTGACGAGATGTGCGCCCCACGCGGCCCGATCCTGGAGCTTACTGACCCCGGAAACACCGGCCGCCCGTGCGGTCCTGCCTTCACATCTGCAGTCCCAGGGGCTTGGACTGGGTCCTTCTTCCCTGTACAGAGGCGGAAACTGAGGCCTTATAAATACAAGTCACACCAATGCCTAGTGATCAAAGGTGACGAAACGCAAAAGTCGTCGATCCATTTCTCCAAACGTGCTCCATTCGGACTTCTTTGGGTTTTGCTAATTGCTGCAATGTTTTTTTAAAAATTGTCACTGGGGAGAGAGGACCCTGCCAAGTGCTTTTAAGGGGCTTGGCACAGTGGGTGCAGTCTTACAGCAAATCAGCCCACGCCTTCCTCACCTGAGCCCCAGGGAAAACACCCCCGCTTTCCAGAAGCACATACCGGGGCTGAGTCTGGCAGAGGCACTGACAGGTGGTGCTCTAGAGGGGAGGGTGTCCTTTACTTTGGACTGGTGAAGGAAAGGAGGTTTTCAAAGCAGAGGGGAGTAGATGTGTGCACCACCGGGAGATAGGGGGCTCAAACCCTCTGCCCTCACCCCCATTTTGACCCTACCTACATCTGGGTTAGCAGTTTTGGAAGGGGGGTATTGCAAAAGCAAGATGTCCCGGTGTAGCCATGGTAAAGCCCTTGGACCCTAGGGAGCTGTGCAGAAATGAGTCCCTGGGCCTCTGCAGGCTGGGGACCGATGGCACAAGCAGTGTGTGAGTGCATCTTGCTGGACCCTTCATCCCAGCCAGAGTCTGCATGCCAGGGGTGGGGGTCAGCCTGTCCTCCAGGCTCTCAGCCCTTAAATCCCCTTCTCCCATCCATAGTCCGGCATTCTGTGTGCCCCTAGGGGAAAGGCTGTAGCTGGTGGCCATTCTTCATGGTGGAAGCTGGGGCATTTTGGCACAGAAGCCCATGTCAGTTCCACAGGTTGGCAACCGCTAAACACATCCAGTCTCCACCACCAACTGTAGTTGGGGTGTCAGTTAAGGACTCTGTCCACCTACCTTCCCTTAATTTGTGGAGTATAAGAGTGTGTATGCTGATGGGAACACAGCCTGGAAGTACCCGGTAAGAGAGGCCACCCTGAGGCCCTCTGCTCCTGGCAGGGAAGTCCCTTTTTGGGTGGAAGCTGTGTTATCTTCCCCATTCATCAGAACCAACCCAAGTGTTGAAAATGAGAGGTACAAGGTACCTCTGCCTGTAGTTACTACAACCCACGGGCCCAGAAGCCACATGCTCAGACCCCATGGGCAACCAATGAGGACGGGTTCTCTCATAGGCCCCCCATTCTTGGTTCTCAAGAAGTTGAAACTCAGTCTATTGGGTATTGAATGGTTAAATGAAAATCTTGAACTCAACTGTTTAGAAACCCTAAAAAATGACTGACTGGGTAGCTGAGATAGCAGTCATCCCAAGATCAAACTCTACCAGCTTAGTTTTGCCTTGTTTACCTCTGATCTACACTAATATACTTTTTACACTAATATATGTTAATATTTTTTGGTTGACTTTTTAATAGTTTTATTTATACTATCATAAAAGGATTTAACATATATTCTAAAATGCATTAAAATAGCTATTCAAATAAAGTGTTCATCCTCTAACTTCATCAAAAGGATCCCCATGGAATCTGAGCACATTTGGAAAAATGCTGCAGTTGGGTGTGGTAGTCAGAGCCCTGGGTTTCTAGCCCCACTATTGGCTGAACCTGATTCTGTTTCTTTTCTAACACATTCATCTCCACCCCCAGACCCCATGGCAGGACTGAGAATTAGACTTATACAGCTTGGTGAGAAACCCGTTTTCAGGGAATGCCAGATCCCCTTTTCTCCATGAGACAGCTACACTGTGGTCCAAGCATTTGTGTTCAGGGGTGGCAGAACCTCAGACCAAGGAGATGCAGGGTCTTGGATGTTCTGACTTGGAGTCTCTGGGAAGTTTAGCTCAGCAACCCATACATGCCTCTGGGGTCCCATCCTTAGTTGCTCACTTGTGGAGCCCCGCCAGTCTCCCCATCCTACTTAATACCCAGCGTCTCCCCTCAGCACCACAGGGCAAACAGGTGTCTGTGAAAAGGACTGAGAGGGGAGGGGTGACAGGCTTCTGGACCAGGCCTACCCAAGTGGGAAGCTGCAGCCCTGCTCCTGGCCCTGATTTGGTCTCAGCCTACAAAAGCACACACCTACACACAGGCACTTGTCAGTCACTCCGTAGGTGCCCCAAGTTGCAGCATTCCTGAGAAAAGGATGAGAGAGGGCTAGTCATTCTCCCTCCTGGGCCTCCTTTGTCATGTAGTAAATGGAACAATGAGTCATTCACTCGACAAATACTCATTGAGTGCAGGAATAAGATAGAAAAAGGCTCCGCTCTCAGGAACTTACATTCTAGATGGGGAGACAAACAATAAGACAACATGAACAAGAAAAATTCCTAAATTCTGTAATAAAAATAAAGCAAGGCAGTGAGCTAGAAAGTTGAAGTAAGAGCCAAGTGCTTTTCCAGGTCACTGATCTACTCTCAGGGGCATTTGTCAGAGCTTTGTACCCAAGCACTGCAGCCTCTTTACCCCCAGAAAGTGGTTTCTTGTAAGAGCCTTTCCTCTGAATCTCACTCTCAGGCTGCCACTGACATCTGTAATTAGAAAAGATGCTTCCAGATTCTCAGCCCCCAGTGTCACAATCCTGGTGCAGGCTCAATCCTGGTCCAATAATTGGCTAAGACTGGTCCACCCATGCTGGTGAGCACAGGCCTGCTGTGCAAGTTGCTCAGCATTGAAGACATTTGACACTAACTAATGGAACAATTAAAGAGTTGAAAAAAAAATGCTCATTTTAAAAATCATTATTTACATATATATATATATATATATGTCAAAATTCAGCAAATACAGTACACTTGAGGTCTGGCTTATATATTATGCCTAAGAAGAAAACATTTGCAAACAATGACTAATGTCTGAAGTACTTAAAGGGAAATATACTGATGACAGTAGCTTGCTTTGAAAAGCATCAGAAACAAGATGGGTAGATGCATGAAACAGTGGTGAAATGCTGACAGTGGAACACAGGGGTGAGTACACAGGTATTCGCTGCAAAATTCTTTAGCTGTATGTTTGAATGTTTTTGTTTGTCCATTTGGAAGTTTTCATGATAAAATGTTGGAGGTAAAAATCAGTATTTAACTTTACAAAAAAGGTGTCAATGCTGCTTTTAATTTTCAAACAACTCTCCCCAGACTGTTATAGTACATACACTTTTTATGAACTAGTATTAATTTTTTTATATAAATGTCATCTGTTACTTCTCACTTATTTCTAAAACTTCACCTACAGTGTTTAATGTTGACATATCACATGACCAAACATGTGGTCGGCTACTTCGGGAACATAGATTTATTACTGCTTACCTTCTAAAAGTACTGCCCAGCCCACCTGCCCCTCCAACCCCGCCAGAGAAGGCAGACTGGCTTCCATGGTACCAATTCTTTTTACTTAGAAAAACTAGAAAAACTGGACAAAACACTTTTAAAAAGCATGGAAGAGCTACAAGGATAGCAAGGAGTCATGAGGCCAACAATGTGGGTGCAAGGTCCAGAATGATGAGCCCACCATTGGAGATCTTTCCCTCTGGGAGGTGTCTACTCATTTTAAGGCTGATAGGCTGTGTCAGATAGTGCTTCTGAAAACTAGGCACATTTCTGGTCCCACACACTCTTCCAGAGCCTTCCTAACCAACCCCCTCACCAAGAAGTGGAGTCTACTTGCGCTAAAAGTGAGTGGGGTAGGCCTATGCGACCACCTTGACAAACAGAATGGGGCAGGTATGACCCAGAGCTAGGTTAGGGAAGGCAGAATAGCTCTGCCCAGTTCCCTGGGGATGCCTGCGCTTGGGACCCGGCTGTTACCCTGAGGTGCACAGCGTGTTCTGATGAACAGTCCCAGTTAAGGATCCAGCCCACCACTAGCTTCAACTGACACTTGAGTTAGCAAGTTTTCCAGGTTCAGGCCCCAGGGTGCTAAGTCACCCCTGTACCCTTGAGATTTTCAGCTGATTCCAAATATTCCTGTTTTTTCCTGTCCACCTAGTAAGGATAACAAATGGGTGTTTTACAATTTGAGATATATATATATATATACACACACACATGCATCCCGTTAGAAGACTTTCACACTTATAGATCAGGTGAGGGAAGAAAAGAAACACCCTCAGTCTTCCTAAGTATGGCTGGCTCAAAGGTTTTAAAGAAGGAAAAGCTGGAAGCTCCAGAGGCCTCCCTCTAGCTTTGGCTTTGTCGCTCTGGGCTTTGGTTTCCTCCTTGCAGACTAAAGGGACAACAGGAGGAAAAGTCATGCCCTCTTGGGCACTGGGACTAGAAGCCACAATGTACAGAGTGCAAATGGCAGGCCAAGAAGGCAGTCTACTGATAGGGATGAAGCCTCCAGCGGGCTAAGGTGGAATCATGGGTTTGTAGTTTGCAGATTTTCTCTTCAGCTCAGAGAATGCTCAAGAATTGCTCATCAGAGCAGGTACTGTTTCTGAAGGCTCCCCCTCCAACTCACCGATGACATGCCTCCCATCATTCTTCCAGCCTTCACTGTACTGCTACATGGCTCAGGTGCCCCCTCTCAGAGGGCCCGATTTTTGTTCCAGCTGAGTCAACTCTTCTCTATCCCCACCACAGCCAAGGAGCAGCTCTGCGACCCCCGAAGGCTCAACCTAGTTTCAAAGCCCAGTTTTGCCAGTCCCCTCTTCCTTCCTTTGTAAAATGGGATCTGCTCCCTATCTCATAGGGTTGTCATGTGGAATAAATGAAACAAAAATGGTAGTGTTTAGCATGGTTCTTGAGTGTGTGTGTGTAACACTTTTCCGTGTGTTCTTGATCAGCTGGTGAGTATGTTCTGTGCTAGCTCTCCCCAAAGAGCTACATTCCTGGGTAAACCTGAGAAACTTTCCTCAATAACTGGTCAGAGGGACAGGTCTCTTAAAAAACAGCTGGAGAAGCCCCCCATCCAGCTCCAACACAAACATGTGGGATTTTGTTGTGGTATCTGGATAGTTCGGCTTCCAGTGCTTAGGCTGGAAGCATAAGACAAGCATTCTAAATGTTACTTTATTTACAACCAGACTCCCAGTCCCCATCTCAGCCTACTCCCCAACTTTAGCTCTGCAGGAGGGGGAGGATGAGCAGAGACAACCTGTCAAGCCCTGGGCTTGAGGAGATGTGCAGGATGGGCCTCTTACTTCTTCTGGGCTTGCGCCCTGGCCCGCTGAATCTTGTCGGCTGTGGCCCCATCGGTGGCTCCAGTGCAGTGGGACAATACAAGGCTCATCTCTGCCTCATTCCGGTGCTCAATAGCCACATCCGCAGCCTGAGCCACATCCCTGGAGTTTGGGCAGGAGAAATATGGTGCTGGGCTACCGAAGGGCACAAACTGCCTCTCATCAGCCCACTGGCTCAGCCACCTAGCACCCATAGGGCTTTCGGCCAACTCACCCAACAAGAAGCAAAGCCTTGACCTTCTGCTCGGGAGCCACACGGGAGGCGTACTTTTTGGCCTCATATTTATTGTGTTGCTTCATGCAGATTTCCACGAAGGGCTTAGGAGAGGGAAGGAGTGGCAGAAGAGTCCAATGGTTATATTGTCCTTATGTATTTCTTATACCCTTCAGCTTATATGACCCTCCTCCCTGCCCTTGCCCCTCACCTCCATACAATAGCTGTGAACTCAACATTCTCAGGGTAAAAATGACCTAAACTAAAGATCTGGACAGTCCTGAGGCCAAGTCTTCCCGTGGATCTAACCTCCCACCCACTGCCACCCCTCACAACAGATTAACTCCTGCTCTCTCAGGCCTGGGTTTTCTCTCCCAGCTGCACTCATTCCATTTCCGCATCACACTTCTGAACTGCCTGCCACAGAAAATAAACCCCCTCAGTAACCTCCACTGCCTCAAAAATGTGCCCACCCTGTTCCACTCCCCCTAACGAAAAAGGACTTGCCTTCAGGCACTTGGCGGCCTGAGGACTCCCCTTGGGGAAAGCAGCTCATTTCCCTCCCACTTGCCGTTGGAGGCAGACTTGGGCCCATTCTCGATGTATGGTGGCCTGCAAATGTGTGCACCCAAAACACACCCACCAGCTACGTGGGATAGCTGAAGGAATGCTGAACAGGCCATTGACCTTTCTCCAGGGCCCCTACTCTCCCCAGAGATGGGGTGAAAGAGGTGCCCCTGCCTTACCAGGTAGCCAATGGGTGATTTCTTGCTCTTAGAAAACTTTTCTAGCTCTTCCCAGTCTCCCAGATCTGCCAGGGCGGTTAGCTTTAGCCACCAGAGCCTGTAGGGAAGCGGAGGTTGGAGGTGCTGCTGGAGGAGCAGGTGATCCTAGAACTCTCAAGAACCAGGGTCCTCACCGACCTCTTGTCAGGGATGCGGAAGTCACGCGCCAGCTGCTCCGAGCGCTTACTGTGGCCGCCGAGGATGAGGGCGGTGACTGTGTCATGGAGAGACAGGTCTAGGAAGTGGCCCCCCAACTCATCTTCTAGGCGTCGCTGCAGCCGCAGAAGCCGCATTTGGTCTTCTGTGGCCTGGGAATGGTGATAAACCAGGACGGGGATGAGAACAGGATGGAAGATCAGAGAGGCGGGAGGAGATTCTTGGGAAAGAATGGGTCAAACCTTGGCTGCAAACTCATTCTTGGCCTTGTAGAAGGCATCAGCTGCTGACTGCAAAGCCGCGACACGCCCCTCGATTCGCTGTGAGGACAAGAAGGGAAGCCTGAGCTCAGCCTCCCTACCCAGGCTAATTCCTGCAACCAGGGTCTCCAAGGCCAGTCTAATCGGCTGGGTGTGCCACTCTGGCGACTGCGGTGGGAAAGGTAACTTCTCTGGTACCACCTCCCTTCTTGTCATTTCTCCTCAGACCCTCAACAATGAGGACCAGAAGGGGTATGCACCAAATATGAGGCCTAGGAGGAACCAGACCAGCAGCCCACTCGGCCTGTGGACCTCAGACCTCCTCTGCATAGCTGGCTCGGACGTGAAAGCTGCCCAGCTCCTGGTGATTGTCATCCTGGTTGTAAAGGTCCTTCAGCGTATCCAGCTCCTGATGCTTGCAGAACTGGGACAAGGACAGTCAGTCAGCAGTGCCTACACAGGAGGTACCCACCTGTACCCCACCCTCAGCATATACCTGTCTGTACAAGCTTAGGGCCATGGGCTGGTTCCGGAGGGTCATGAAAAAGTCTCCTCGGTTCAGCTCATTCTTGAGGTGCAACAACACCGTAAACACTATGGGACAATAAGGTGGGCTGTGGGTTCCAGTCCAGCACCCTGCCTAGCCAAGGGGTCCGAGTCTGCCTTCACTCAAACCCTGCTCACCCAGGTCTGTGTCCCCACTCTCGATGGCTTTGTTCAGTGCTAGTTTGCTCCTCTTCATCTTTAGGAGAAGGGGTACCTGCTCCCCAGAGCGTGGCTCATACTCCAACAGCTGAGGGAAAGGGGGAGGAAAACAGAGAGGAGTTGGTCTGCGGGCTTCTAATACCCACATCAGAGCATCTTAAGGAGGGCCAGGCTCCCACACCTTGATAGCTAGTTCTGTGCGGCCACAGCCGTAAGCCCGCGCAGCAATGTCAGAGTAAGAGACGCCAGGTGTGTCCCCCAGCTTCTGATTAATGGCCCGAGCAACATCCTCATCAGACACATCCTTCTGTTGCACCTGCAGAAGGAGAGGGGTGTGACACACACCTGGACCTTACCCGTCAACCCACTGGTACTTGAACAACCCCATCCTTTCCAACTCTACATTTCGTGTTTTCCATACCCCACAGGAGCCTGCAAGACCCCAAGTGTCCCAGATCCTGTCCTACACCCTCACCTTGTAGCAGGCCCAGTGGGCCAGGATCCTGCTGACACCTTGTACTTCAGGAAGGCGCAGGTATTCACATATCTGGATGGCTAGGGGGTATAGTCTTCGCAACACAAGCCTGGCAGGTAAGGAGGATAAAGTGCACACGGGTGAGGTGGAATAGAGAGCAGAGTGGCCTTATGTCTATCTAGATCCCAAACAAATGTGTCAAGAGGCTGTAAAGCCTGTCCACCCCCCACAGCCCACCTTACAGGACCCTTCGCTGGCTGTACCTGTCCAGCAGCACCTGGATGGTGAGCTGCTTGTATCTGTGTTTCACTCAGTTAAGGATCCAGCTGAGAATAAGCCCTATTTGCCAAGGATTTTTAGACAGAACCTTCAACACCACCCCCTTCGTTCCCCTCTCCCCTCACTATCCCCAGCATGTTTGGGGATACTGGCTATAGGTGAGAGGGATCCCAATGTGGTAGTCCCGAACAGCATTGAGCACACGAAGTTCCTGACACATGCGTACGAAGCTGTCAGGTGAAAATCTGTCCAGGAAACACTTTCCGAAGGAGGCCGCCTGAGAAGAGAAAGAGGGCAATAGAGAAAAGTGTCCCCTGCCAGCCCAGCACTCCACAAACCCCCCAGTGCCACCACCCCCTCCCAGCCCTGCTTCCCAGGCCAACCCTGAGCAGACTCTTCTGCATATCTGGCCGGTGCTCGTGTCCTGCAGCCTCGATACACTGCTGCACGGCCTGGGTCAGCTGCCCCAGCTCCTGGATCTCCCGCAGGTACTCGTCTGCCTTCTGGCTCTCTTTCTGGGGAGAAGGTGTCAGGGATATGACAGTTTGACAGAGGAAACCCCCACCTGACTTCAAGTCCCTCTGGGCTGTGGTTTAATGGGCTGTTTGGAAGGGCAGGAGAGGCCAGAGCCCAAACTCTCACAGCCCACCTGAGCTGTACCCCTCTACAAATCCCCTACTCCTGCCAACACCAGCGTAGATGCTTATGTGAGGCCTTATGACCTCTCAGGGGCAGCCCTAACTTGTGCCTGAGCAGGAGACAATGGGGGTTACTTAGCTCTCCCCATCAACAAATGGAGGAAACCATGTCCCTTTAGGTCACTGGAACAAGCTCTCCCTATCCCAGCCCAGCCCATTGCCCTGACTAAACCCATCTTCTGATAGGAAGTTCGGCCAATCAGGGGAAGGAGGAGGAAACCACCCTGAGGACTGGGGAGAAACACGGGGCCTTTACCTCATACTCCTTCTGGGCCTCTAATAGCAGTGCTCCGGGAGCCATCGAGGCAATTTTGAAGATCTCCTCACTGGCCACTGGGGAGGGAGTTGGTGAGTGGAATGGGGCAGAGCAAACCCTCAATCCCACTCTTGGCAGCTGGGGGTGAAGGAACCCCTGTCCTGGGTCATGTCTTGTCTCACCTGGAACCTCATGCAGGAACTCATGGGTGCTGCGGGAGAAGATGCGGACCCCATCCAGTTCCGGCACCAGGTAGGAGTCCTCGTCCAGCACAAACCCAAGCTTGTTAAGGCTCCAAGAACAACTGGGGGGAGGGGGGGTTTGGGCAGGTGACCCCTCTCCCACCTCCCAACAGGCAGTCTTCCAAGGATACTGGATGCTCTCGGGTGCATCGCCTACCACCATCAGTCGCCTCTCCCAGGCCACCACGACGGCCCTCTCCTTGCTGCGAGGACGGCTGCACCTGTGGGCGACACCACCACAAATACTTCTGGGGCACACACAGATGCCCGGCCTATAGCCACATCTCTCACATCACTGCCTGTCTTGCTGCCCCTTCTCCCCTTCCTGACTTGTCTGCATCCCTCCCTGTCACCTGGTGCTATCAGTCCCTGGTGCATCTGTGTTGCCCTCGAGCATGCACCGGCAGAGAAGATGCAATGTAGGTCCCGCTCGGCTTGGAGAGCAGAAAGGATGAATCAGGTATCCCACCCTCAGCAACACCCCGATACTCACCAGACCATCTGCTTTGGGGGAGCCCGGATGTTGCAGTTGAATTCACAAAGCTTCTCCTAGAAGGGTGCAGGGAATGTCACTGCCCTCTCCCAGGAGTCACCTCTCTGGTTGAAAACCCTCCCTCTGCCCCATCAGATCTTTCCTGGACAAGGCACGTAGCCCCTGTGTTGTTCCAGGACCACACCTTGAGTGATGCTGTCCCCATCCAGATGTAGCCTGTATCTGTGAAGAGTGCCAGGTGGCGGTAGGTGAAAGAGACTGCCATCTGCAGGAAACTGCTTACTCCTGGGGACAGGCCAGGGGGTGTCTGGGGCAGAGCCGGGAGGACACCAGAATTACTGACTTCTCAGCGTCTCCCCCTGCCGCCCCCAATGCCTCCATTTCATTGCATTCAGGGCCTCACCACTGTAGAGCAGGCTGCATGGTCCAAGAGGTAAAGATTGGGCCCCACAGCCAGAAGAATGTGTGCCACTCGCTCCTGGAACAGTGTGGTCCAGCAGGAGGGTGCACTCTGCAGACCTATGGCCAGGGCAGAGGACAACCTTACATGACTAGGCCCTGCAGCATCTGCTGTGTTCCCGAGGTCTAGAGCCACATCCGTGGGTACCAAATGCTGCCTAAGGGATGTCAGGTCTCACCTGGTACCTCTGGCATCCGGCGGAGTTTGAGGTCACCCACATTGGCACTGAGGGTGAAGCGGTGGGCCCCTGTGAGGATGGCCACCCCGGAACCAAACTCAGTATGGAAGATTCGGGCATCTAGAACCCGGTTCTGAAGAACTTCCTGGGGAGAGGGGCAATGGGTTGAAGGAGCCAGGCCACAGGCCCTATCCCCCTCCCCCGGTCCCTGTAGCCCATACATTGCCCATGCTGAAGTGTCTCCGGAAGTCACCATGAAGCCCATAAACCAGCACCACACCATCTTCTTGCACACAAAGCAGCTCCTCTTCAGCTGACCAGCCCAGAGACACCACAGGCCCACTCTTCCACTACAGAGGAGAGGGTGGTTTCCGAGGCTGCCCTCAGGACGCAGAAGCCCACTCCCACCCCTGGCCTGGTCAGGGACACTCACCAGTAGACTGGCCAGCGGCATGCCAGAAGCAGAGTAGATCTCTAGCACAGGCCGAATGCTGGCAGCCTTCTCCTTCTGCCATGGGTTTCTAAGCAGTGCTGCAGTTTGAGAAGAGACCATCTGTCCTAGTTCCCCACCCAGGTCCACCACACATGAAGCAGGCCTCAGGAGTACCTGAATTAAGTATCTCAAGAGGGTGGGAGAGGTAAACCAGCAAGAAAAGGCTGACTACAGTATCCCAGGGAACAAAGACCTTGAGATCATCCCATGCATCCACCACATGCAGTGGCAGAGGGGTGACGTACCAATGGGGCCCCCATAGGGTGCAGCAGCCACCAAGCAGTCCCTGAGTTCCTCCTTCAGGTCCCAGTCCATGCTGTACAGCTCATATTTCCTGTCCACAGAGAGGTGATAGCGATTAGTGTCCTCATGACCCTGAATCTAGTGGGAGTGAGCCCCAGAGAAACTCCTAAAGCCTCCATTTGTTTTCTGCAGGTAGACAAAGAAGGGCCCCATATAACCACCACCTGTGGTAGGGAGGCGGGGAGCAGCTAGACTGATGACAGGCATGCTAGGGACAGCACACAAGGGAGCTGAGGTGTTCACAGGGAAGGACGTGATCCTTAAGGCAAGCTACTGGTTAGAATAAAAGAAGTCAGTAGGGTGATCAACAAAAATCAGTATATTTTCTATAGCAATGAGTGTTCTATACCATAGCAAAAATCAATCAGAAATAGAAATTTAAAAAGATCCTCATTATGATCGCAACAAGACTTTATATCCTAAAATAAACCTGATAAAAATTTTCTAAAATAAAATCAAAATTTAGCCAAGCATGTAAAGATATGAGAAATATCTCGAAATAATCTATAAATGCTTATTCCAATAAAACTAACTCCCTAATTTTTGCGGGGAGGGCTGGAAGCACAAACTGATTCTATAATTTGTCTGGGAAAAAAAAGACCATCTGAAAGGGAAAATAATTAAGACCATTTTGAAAATATGAGATATAACAGATAGCAAATAATATATATTGATATAAACCTAAGTTAACTAAAGTGCCATTTTGGCCCAGGAATAAGGAAATAATGGATGGCAGAGAACAGAATGAAAAAGGAGGCCTGGGAGCATGTAAGGCAGACGGCGTTCCAAACTGGTGCAGACTGGCGCTTGACGTGTGGCCACATGCCGTAGGGAGAGCCACAGTGAATGATAATGTCTCTACAGTAAAATGTTTTCCAGATGGAATTCAAGATTTACATGTTAATAAAATCAACCTATTTTTACAGCCTCCAGCTAGAAGCAATTTCTAAGCATGACATAAAACCCAAAAGTCAAATAAAAAAAAATCAACAAATGGGTCCAAATTAAACCTTAAGAACTTTGGCATACTTCTACATGACAGGAATAAAACTAATACATGTTTACATTAGCTTCTGTTTGAGAAAAGAAACTCTGGAAAGATCTATAAGAATCTAGTGACTGTGGTTACTTATAGGTGCAATGAATAGGGGCAGAATTAGTAATAAGACTTTATAGGGTTTTTTTTTTAAGATTTTTAAATTATTATGCATACAAGAACTGGGGTACAGGCCAGAGGTGCAGGTGGTGAGAGGATTCACCAGAGACAGAATGGGGAATAGAACAGGCAGATCAATGAAGTACACTGCTGAGGGGAGCAGTGGGCGGATCCAGAGAGGTCTGCCATGCCATGTGGGTCACCTCCAGGGCTGGGGATCGAACTGCATTGAGGCGGCCACGACCAGCTTTGCAGTGCTGCGCTCCAACCCACTGTGCTACCAGGGAGGGCCAAGACTTTGAGTTTTTTGTTTGTTTGTTTGTTTTTTTAAAGATTTATTTATTTGTACATACAGAACTGGGGTACAGGCCAGAAGCTCAGGGGCGGCAAGAGGCTTCACCAGAGACAGAGTGGGGAACAGAACAGGCAGATCGACGAAGTACACTGCTGAGGGGAGCAGCGGGCGGGTCAGGAGAAGTCTGCCACGCCATGTGGTCACCTCCGGGGCAGGCGGGAATTGAACTCATGGGGAAGCGGTTATAGATTCTCAGTGCTGTGCTTTAACCCGCTGCGCCACCAGGGAGGGCCGACTTTGAGTTTTTAATGTGTACTCTGTCTACCCTATCATGTAACATTTTCCTACTCTACAGCTATCCTTTTATCAGTTTATTAATTTTTACTTATCAAACTTTCCCAGGTTAGATGTCCTGACTGGACCTAGACCAACAGGGAGTAGTCCTAGAAACAGACTCCTGATGATGGGACCTGGGGGCTGGTCTGGCCATGTGCTTGTGTCTGAGTGCGGGGCTGAGTTCCCTGCCAAGGGAAAATGGATGTTAGTAGCCCACTGTGTGCAGTGCAACACAGCTAATTAAGCCTGCAGTTTACAGTGGTGAAATGCCAAGTGAAACATGTGCTTTGGGAGTGACTTCTGTATTTGATCATATAATGTTGAGTACTCTTGAACATTTATTTACAAAGAGAAAATTATAAGCTTAGTTCCGTTAACTTTCAGCTCATGTCACAGTCTGAGAAGCAAGTTTCTCTAATAGCCCTAGAAGAATCTATTTAAAAAAAAAAAAGATTTATTTATTTATGCATACAGAACTGCGGTGCAAGCCAGAGGTGCAGGGGTGGTGAGAGGATTCACTAGAGACAGAATGGGGGGCAGAACAGGCAGATCCATAAAGTACACTACTGAGGGGAGCAGCAGGCGAGTCAGGAGAGGTCTGCCATGCCATGTGAATCACCACCAAGGCCAGGGATCAAACTTGCACTGAAGCAGCTGCGGCTAGCTTGCAGTGCTGCATCCTAACCCATTGCACCACCAAGGGAGGGCCCAGAATCTACTTTTTTATAGTCACATACCTGCCACTGTTAAAATCAAATATAAAACTTAATTGTGTGGGTAATTAAATGATATCAGGTGATTTCACCAGCACATCATCTCCCATGGAAAAGTTAAGGCATTGATCAGGAAAGAACGGGATCCTGAAACGGAAGGGGGCTAGCTATATCTAAATGAAACTGACCATCCTGAATCCCAAATTATTCTGAGCTTTCCTTACCAGAGGAAGTAAGTTTACCCTGTGTCAGAGGATACTGACCCACTGTGCTTGTAAACTTGGTGATAATTTCCCTCTGGGGAGATGTTCTAGAACCTACCTGCCCAGGGCTGACCTGCCTAGTGCTGACACTAAGTGGCCAACCTGCCAAAAGCAGAGACCAACACATGCCTCTGGTACGGCATCATACTGACTGATTACACTGGTCCTTTTTCATTATAGAAGGGGCAAAGATTTGTCCTCACTAGAATACAGTCACCTTCTGGTTATGGATTTGCTTCCTTCTCTCTAGGTCTTTGTTGGCACCCACTATCTGTGGACTTTCCTGCTGTTGTGGCTGTCTGTAAAGCACAGTGTCTAGTCAAAGACTTCATTTCATACCAAAAATGCACAAGTGGACTAGGTCCATGGAACCAGCTGGTCTTAACATACCCAGAAGCGGCTGGTGTGAATTTACTGATGGCTCAATCAGATTACCGACTGGGCAATAGTACCCGAAAAGGGTGGGGTTGTCTTACAGATGCAGTTTATGTTTATGCAAAGAATTTCTCATTGATAATTCTTTAAATAAAGGTGATCTACAAGGTACTACAGAATGTAGCCCTTAAGAGAACATCAACCTCATTTCTTATCCTGCCACCCCCAGTGCCTGTGGCACAGGAGCCACACTGACTGTGTAGGGTGCTCTACCTAGAAAGGCAACACTAGCTTCACTTAGGTCACTGAGAGCACCCCAGTACTTTATGCACCTTTGTTCATGCTCTCCCCACCCCACTTATTCCCTGATGGGATATTCGTATTTCCTTTACTTCTGACCTACCAGCCTGTGATTATTTTCTCCTAAACCCTATACTTTACAGTAATCATCATCATGATCAGTTTAGTGCTAAAGCACTTAGCATGAGTCCTCTGCTAGCTGTAGCTCTGTGAAGGCAAACAGGGTCCATGTTTTTTTTTTTTTATTGGTTTGTGATATGCACAGTCTGACATAGGAAGGGTTGGGCAAAATAAACTAATGGAATTAGCCCAAGTTGGGTTTTTAAGATAAAATTGGCTAGAAATATGGAGTCCCAAAAGTGGTCACTGTTCCCTTTTCTTGTCTTCCCAAGCACAGTGAGTTTTCCAGAACATTACGTCCAATGTAAAAGAATCCTGTCCTGAAGCCAGGACTCCAAATGCAATGTCTGTTGCTTGCTTATCATTCATTTACTTACTTATTTAGATCCTGGCATAAGTCATACACAAACACAAATAAAACCAAGTATTTACATTTAACACAGTTCTACTCAGGTGGGCAAGCTAGAGCACGCTATTATAATTTTCCTATTAAAAACAAACAAAACCCCAGGAAATTCCTGGTCCTATCATTAACCAGCTATGTAACCTGGCTTCCAAATCTCTCTGCCCCTGTTTCCTTATCAGTAAGATGAAGCTAGTAATGAAACCACCATCATGCGGTTGTGAGACCTGAATCAAGTTAAGTACTTATAAAGTACTTAGTGCACTGTGTATTACATAGAAAGACTCAACATCTGTTAGCAAAAATAACAAATCCTCTGTAACAAGGCTTAGTTAGATCTCTACTCCTTTCTGGCAGCATAGGTAATAGTTGGCTAGCCAAGTAAGTCATGACTATGGCATGTACTCAATACTTACATTCATTTAACAGTTCACTGGTGTATCAACAAAACTAACACTTTATATGATTAACAGAAGCTTTATGGTAATGAGATCACCCTCTCTAATTTAACAAGCCTGTGTAGACAACATGTATTTTCAAAAGACAAGTTAATATTTTTTAAAGTGTATGGTGTATGTACATACACTACTTACTTGTCAATGAACATTCCTCTTCACATTTCAACAGCTGAACAAAGTTATTTCCTATTGAAGTTACAGTAAGTTTTTTCATATTGTATAAGCATGTTTCAAAGTGGTAAGAATGATAAACAACAAAGCCAATAGATCTTTAATAATTGCCACGAGTTATGTGTTCATTTTGGCATGTCCATCTTGATGTATTAAAATTACATTGAACAGTTAAATTATATATGAATAGGAATGGGATAATTTCACTAATACAAACTGAAGTCTTATAAGACCCCAATATAAGACCCCAATACAACATCTTTGTAATCTTCAGTTGCAAAGTATTTTAAAAAGCTGTATTGTGTAACTCATGTACAGCAGGCACAATTGTAAATATGGACTGGTGACATGCAAAAAAATGCTCTGCGGACTCAAAGAATTTGGCTTAGCTGAAAAAAAAATCTTTACAAATATTACTGTGCCATACATAACAGACTTTAACACTGGGTACTGTGAGGCCCAAAAGAAAGTCCAGCTAACTACTGGAAACTGGGAAAGGTTCAGAAAAAACTCTAGGTCCTGATGGATAAGCAAGAATTCTCCAAGTAAGATAAAAGGGGAAACGGCAGTGTCCATAGAAGGAAATGCATACCCAGTGCAAGCACAGCAAGCCCAGAATCACCAGTTCTGGGGTAACTGTAACTAAAAGAGAAAATTTGGGTAAGAAAGAAGCAGATGAAGTAGCAGAGACAAATGGACTGATTTACAGATGTTCCACAAGAAGTTTGTGCTTTATCCTACAAAGAAGAGAAGCCATTGAAAAATCCTAATCAGAGTAACGACGTAAAGATTAACGGTTTAGGTCTCTGAGGTCCCCAAGAGAGCCAGAGGTCCTTCACTGAAAACTTCCCTCCTCCCCCCATCCTGGGTCAGCATTGTTACCCCAAGGGCCCCGAGATCCTGCCCTCCTGCCCTGGAAGAGCCCCCAGTGGTCGCCCTTCAGCAGCAGTTCCCGGCAGAAGACTGGACACTGTCATTCTTGGGCGGCCTCCCTCACCTGACTGCCCTTCCACGGTTGACAGCTTGGGTTTCAGTGTAAGGCTTTGCCCCTACATGTGTTATCACCTTGCTTGCTAATTTTTCTTCTCGGCTTCGAGGTGTCAGGCGGCTGTGCCTTAAGAGGTAGGCACCAGCAGAGAGCCAGCAAGGGGAGGACCCTAGTGCGCGCAGAGACGATGGAGCGCGCCGCAGTCTCCGTCCCGAATCTCGGGCGGGTGGGCCAGAGAGGCGGGGGTGGGGTGGGTAGGGGAGCAGGACAGCTCACCTGTAGAATGCAGAGTCCCCGAGCGGGTTCCAGTTCGCCGTGTAGCAGTCCATGGCTGGCGCCAGCGGCGACTGAGCAGCTAGGGGCGGACTCCAGCCTACTGCTGGTTCCAGGTCGGCACTTCCGCTTCCGCCCGTCCGGGTCACGTGGCGAGGCCGCCGTCACGGCCATCATCACTGTGGGCAACTACACACAGCCGCCGCCGCGCCCCCGCCCACACCGGGCCTAGTGCCCGCCCGGGTGGGCCCGGCCCCGGCTCCTGCCCACCGGGGCAACCAACCCTGCCGCCTTCCAGTCCCCTCTGGCGCTGGGAGTCGCGCAGGGCGGGACATGGGTGACCGGAAGTGTGAGCTGTGAGCGTCGCCGCCCCGGGTGCCCAGGCCTGCGGCGCCGTCGGGGCCGCCGCGACGCACGCATGGAGAGCGCTGGGCGCCGGGCTGCGCACCGACGGCTAACCGGGACGCACGGGCTCTGCTGGGCAGGGGCTGTGCAGAACCGACTGGCCTCTGGGGCAATGAGCCGAGATCCAGAGCCCGCAGCGGGCAAGGAGCGCGGCGCGCGGGCCTGCCCTGTTCGCGTGTGAACCGCGCGCGGAGCCCCGGGACTCGGTAATTGGCGCGAGCGGGCGCGCGCATGCGCGGGGCGGCGGCGGGCACGTGCGGGGCGCCAGGCGGCGCCGCGCGGGAAGTGCCTTAGTGCCCGAGAGGCCTGCAGGCTTGGCGACCTCTTGCTTATGGTGCCCAGTGTGTTCATGGGTGTCATGATGGGCCTCACTCTGCCCCTCCGCCTCCTCCCAGTGTCCCTGAACAGCCTGGGGGGAGCCGGTAGTACCGTGCCCTGAGTCCCGGCCCTCCGTGGAGTAGCCTCCCTGCAGCCCCTCATTGGCAGAGGCATGGTCTTCTGTGTGGACAACGAGGACCCTCGCCGACCGCTGCGAAGCACCATGGTCCACTTCCAGGCTTCAGAAGTCCAGCAGCTGCTACACAACAAGTTCGTGGTCATCTTGGGGGACTCTAGTGAGTGCTCCCCGAGGGTCACAATGCAGCCCCACACCTGCACCCTGTTTTCTTTGTTTGGACCCATGTCTCCACATCTGACTTTTTGATCCCGCGTCCGTTCCGATCCCACAGGTTTTCTTGCTTGGTTTTCCCACACACCTTCCACAGTTGTTTTCACAGAAGTCACCTGTCAGACTTATGCCATCTTTGCTCAGCTTTTTCAACATGACATTGCCCTATAATTTCCCACAGGGGAGGGACGGATTGTGCTGTCAGCCCCCCAGGTCACCTGGCCGACTTCTGCCCACCCGGTTAGCGGTGTGGGTCTTACTAGCTTGTAGGAACAGAGACAGTGCTAGAGCTTTCTAACATCACTTTTCCTCCTGCTTCTAAGTCAGCACTCCACAGAGGAGGGTTGGGCAACCACCCACCCTGGGAAGATGGGAGACCTGGGCTTGGGATGAGCTAAATTGGGTGAGGCCAGCCTCAGGCTTGGGGTTCTATCTCCTGGCAGTCCAGCGGGCTGTATACAAGGACCTGGTGCTCCTGCTCCAGAAAGACTCACTGCTCACAGCTGCCCAGTTGAAAGCCAAGGTGAGGGAAGCTTGTCGGCCATGCCAGTGGTGGGCGGGCACAGACCCTGGCCTGGCAGGGTCCTTCTCCCTGGCATGGGTCTGACCAGCTTGGGGGGGGGCGGTGGGTAGGGGGAGCTGAGCTTTGAACAGGACCAGCTGGTGGCTGGGGGCCAGCTGGGCGAGCTGCACAACGGGACACAGTACCGGGAGGTCCGTCAGTTCTGTTCGGGCTCTGGCCACCACCTTGTGCGCTTCTACTTCCTCACCCGTGTTTACTCCGAGTACCTGGAGGGCGTCCTGGAGGAGCTGACGTATGGGCCTACCCCGGACCTGGTGATCATCAACTCCTGCCTCTGGGATCTCTCCAGGTTGGGGGAAGATAGGGAATACTGGCTGGTGCAGGGGGTGGTGGGTGTGTAGATGTGCGGTTTAGAAGCTGCCTACCTGCATGTTCTTGCTCACCTTGTGTGCTGCCCAACAGGTATGGCCGCTTCTCAATGGAGAGATACCGAGAGAATCTGGAGCGGGTATTTGTACGAATGGACCAGGTGTTGCCAGACTCCTGCCTCCTAGTGTGGAACATGGCGATGCCCCTGGGGGAACGTGTCACTGGGGGTTTCCTTCTGCCAGAGGCAAGTGACTTAGGGCACCACAAAATGGGGGATGGGGTAACTGATAGGTAAGAACCCTCCTTCCAGACTCTGCTGCATTCTGTAGATCTTAGATGTTGCATTTTCTCATTTAGCTCCAGCCCCTGGCAGGCTCTCTGCGGCGAGATGTGGTTGAAGGTAACTTCTATAGTGCTACGCTGGCTGGGGACCACTGCTTCGATGTCCTGGACCTCCACTTTCATTTCCGGCATGCAGTACGGCACCGTCACCGGGATGGTGTCCACTGGGACCAGCACGCCCACCGACACCTCTCACACTTGCTTCTGAGCCATGTAGCTGATGCCTGGGGCGTGGAGCTACCCAAGCGTGACTTTCCCCTTGGTGAGCCCTACCACAGTGAGGGACATAGTGATGCAGAGAGGTCTCTCAGCACAGAGCTTGGAAACAGTGGGACAGAGGGACTCAGGGAGAGTAGAGGCCCTTTAAAGCACTCTCATGATCTTCGTCATTTCCTGGGAAGGGTGAGATCAACGTCCGGTCCAGGTTTCAGTTTGTATGTTCACATAGCACATGAATGGCTTATAGAAGCACTGAACATGTGGGATCTTGTCCAAAACCACTACCCTACAGGGCGCCTCAGGGAAGAAGCGGGCTATTTTAGGAGGTATAAATGGGTGCAAAGACAGAAAGGGAGGAAGGCATTCTAGATGGTGCGGAAGAAACGAGAGTCCCCTCTGCCGTTTCTTTTGGCCTCCTGGCTCCTGCCTGCTCACCAGGCAGGCACCGCAGCTCATTGTTTTCATGGATCATGTCTTCAGAAGGCAAGATCTGGCTTTGCCGACATCTCACCCACTTTTGACCCCAGAGTCTAGCACAGTTACCATGTGGATAGTAACCATACAGATAGCATTTGTTAAATGGGGGCAGATGTCTCACTAGAACGCCGTTGGTAGAAGTGCCGGAGGGTTTGAGGGGGCACAGAGAGCCAAGATGGTCCCTGAGGTGGACTTTTAGAACTTGGTAGTCAGTTATTGGTGTTTTGGGAGGTGCATTAGTGCTTTGATCATATAATTGTCTGATTTCCTTGTTTTTTTTTTTTTTTTTTTTTTTGGTGAGAGAACTGCTCCTCAGCAGAGGGATGCTGTAAAGGTTGTAAGGCTAGTTTATGGTGCTCAGGTCTTCTGAGTCCAGTTTGGAGCTACAGAAATAGGAACATCAGAAGGAATTGTCAGGTGGGAGGATGAGTTGGTGAGTTGGGTCAGGGCGTCTGCTTACGTACTGTGGAGAGAGGGAGCTGGTGGTGCTCAACAGAGAGAAGGACACTGAGGGCATGAGTGAACTGCGAAGGAGAAAGCAGAACGAAAGCACATCTTGAAATTAGAAGGGAAGAGGAGCTGATAGAGGAAACCAAGGAGACAACGGAAGAGGCATTTTCTGAGAACTGACATACCTGTTGGCCAAGTCGTGTGGCTGTCCGGAAGAAAGGATTTGTTAAGTTCGTCAGGAAGTGGGCACAGTTAGTAAAGAAAAAGTGCCGAAGGAGTGGAATGGGGTCAAAAGAGGCATCGAGCAGTTGACGAGGGAATAGAAACCAGAAACTTGTTTTTCTTGGGAATTTGAAAGGAAAGGGCACTACTGGAGAAGGGAGTGATGGGATCTTTAGGTTTATAAAAGAAGATTCACTCTGCACGTTAATTGCTCTTTGGGGTGGAGCTGGGGAGAGGGGAAAGCAAGAAACATACGAACCACACAAAGGGCAAATGCTCTGGCGGTGAGCGTGAGGTCAGAACGAGGCAGGTCCACTTTGAGAAAGGTAAGAAAGAAGGAACACATCTTGGACTGTCTGAAATGAGAGCGGGGAGGGACAGTGGGTATAAAGCAGAGATGCCGCTGCCTAGCTGCCTAGTGGCCCGGGGCTCGGAGATGAGGGAGCAGTGACTTGAAAGCATGGACAGAGTGCAGGGGGCCCAGCTCTCCAGACTTTCCTGAAACAACCCTCCCACTCCTAGACCCCTGGACTGAGGACTGGCCGGAACCGGACCATCTGTTCCAGGGGAACCATGGGCAGCCCGCAGACTTCGGGGAGCAGCTTCCCTTACCCCCACCCCGGCCCTCTCCCCTCCCCCCTCCCATGCCTTTTCCCTTCTCCCTTCCTCAGCCTTCACGGCCTCCCCTGTTCCCACCCCTCCCCCAGGATGCCCCCTTTTTCCCAGGCCAGCCCTTCCCACCTCATGAATTCTTCAACTATAATCCAGTGGAAGACTTATCAATTCCGCCACACTTAGGTAGGTGCCGCCACAGCTTTCCCTCACTCCTCTCCCAGCCGAGCTTTCTGTGCCCCGATGGACCGAGATGATATGGGTAGCTCAAGACTGGGGTCCCTGCTGAGTCTGGAACAGCAATTATAGACTCGTTAATCAGCTCATTGATTGTCACAATTTCCTGATTAGGATGATGGGGAAGTGATACTGCCATTTGGTAGCTGTGCTACAGAAGCCCAGAAAAACTCACTGGAAAACTAGAGAAGCTTGAAGGCAGAGCTGGGCTCATCCTGCCTGCCCACTCTTATAATGACTGGTTCTTTTGTAGGATGTGGTCCTGGAGTGAACTTTGTGCCTGGCCCCTTGCCACCTCCAGTCACTGGCCCAGTCCCCCATGGTCAACACCGGAGCCCAGTGGTCCATCGGGGGATGCCACGCTGTATACCCAATGGCCCCTACCATGTGCCAAGGATGGGGGCGCCCTGCAGACAGCGACTCAGACACTCAGACAGATTGATCCACACATACAAACTGGACAGACAACCTCCTGCCCATTCGGGGACATGACTTGGGTAGGCTGGATATTGGGCTGGGGTTGGATGTGTCAGTGGCCTTGCAGGGCTTGCTAGCCATGCCTGATGTTGGGCCCAGGTATCTGCTATGCGTGGTGTTGTTCTTGTCCATTGCTGTCACCAATAAAGGCATGGAAGAACAGAGTGGCATCTTCTGTGTGAAGGAGTGAGTCACCCAAACCATGATCTTAGAAGTTGGGGAGGCTGTCTTTGGACTTGGCCACCTTTCAACTGCTCACCCCACACTATTTAGAAATTATTGGGTGCATTCCTCTATTGACCCACACATTCACTGTTGTTCTCACCAGAGTACATGTGCGCTTAAGAAAGTTCTTGGGCGGGGCTGGGGAGGTTCTACTAATGTCAGCAACTCTTTGGGATTGACATTAAGGTCTGAGTTACAATATTTCAATGGAATTTTGGCTCTAGCAAATTCTCACCTATACCAGTCTCATGTATCGTGTGTACATTCAACTGTTGGAAGTAGACATGTACCTTGTCTTACACATTACTTGGTGCTTGACAGACACTCCAAAAGTGGTTAAAACCAAACAGGAAACTCCCAAACCCAAGCAGAAAACTGCTTCCAAATCCATCATTTAATAGATGTAATGTGCATGGAGCAGAGTGATCACAGATCAACTTCTGTGGTTGGCGACTGGAGCAATAGAGGAAACTGGATGAGAATTCCAATGTAGGAAGGTGGAAGATATACCAAAATCCGTAAAGAAGTTATGAGTGTGATCTGGGCCCTAGATTCACAACTCCTAAGCATCAAGATTGGGATGTGGACAAAATGGTAGCTGGGGGTAGGAATGGAGCGGTCAGTTGATGAGAGACCTGGGGCAGGAAAATCAGCACAGACCCGTTCAATAACCTTGAAGAACTGGGTGCGAGAGGATGCAGATTCCTTACGTTAACTATAATGCTGCTTACTGAACTTTTACCTTGGCCAACGATATAATATTTCACATAAAGGGAATGGAAATAGACCAGAAAATACTGATTCTTCAGTAGGTCACATTAGTGACCTACTAAATGTAAGTGGAAAGGAGCTGTTAACACACATGGTGCAGGGAAAGCTGGTACAGACAATGTTAAGTTAATAAAATTCTTGAGGGTCTCCCTGGTAGTGAAGGTGTTAAAGAGAAGCACTATGAAGCTGTCTGCAGCCACTGCAGCATGAGTTTGATCACAAGATGTGTGTCAGCTCTCCTGTGTGCCTGCTGCTCCCCTTCAGTCAATCCGCCTGTTCTGCCCACTCTGTCTCATCCTCCATACTTCTGGCCTGTACCCTAGTTCTTGTTTGTACAAATAAATCTATAAAAAAAAAATACAAGTCTGGGGCCCTCCATGGTGGTGCAACAGGTTAAAACGCAGCACTGTGAAGCTAGCTGCTACGGCTTCAGCTTGAGTTTGTCCCTGGCCTGGGAAATGACCCACACGGTGCAGCAGACCTCTCCTGACCCACCCCTGCTCTCCTCAGCAGTGTGCTTAGTCCATCTGCCTGTTCTGCTCCCCACTCTGTCTCTGGTGAATCCTCTCACTGCCCCTGCACCTCTGGCCTGTACCCCAGTGGTATATGCATAAAAATCTTAAAAAATATATGACTCTTCATAGGGCTCTTGAGAATCATATAAGACAAGGTACAAAGGTACTAGCACAGTGCCTGAAACAAGTGTGGTTTTCTTGTAGAGACAAAAAATGGAATGAATATACTAAAGTGAAAGGTTTTTTTTTTCTTTTTAGGAATAGAATTTTAAATTACTTATTTTTTTGGCCACAGTTAATTTTTCTTTTTGTTTATAAAAAAAAATTCCTTGGAGCACCTCTATTCTGCTTCATCTAGGTTGCCCGATCCCTCAAAACTTCTGCCCAGACTCTTTCCCCTTTGATTCTGAGTCTTGTCAGAGTTGCTGGAGAAAACTGCATTCCTGGACTGATCTACAGCTTCACTGGGCTCTCTTGATTGCTTGCCATTCTGATGGGTAAAATTACCTTTTAGGAATTTTAATTGCCGCCTTCCCTATGGAACTTTTCTTAGGCTTTTCTGCTCCCTTGAGACGTCATCCCAAATTGGAATTCTCAGTCTGAGGATTATTGAATGTGCTGTCTCCCATTACCTCTGCGTTTCCATCCCATCTTGTCATATTAATTCATGTCCACAGAGAGCCTTCAAAACCTTTTCTTTAGCATGCCAACATATCTGCTATAGATAAGTTTATGAAAAAAAATTTTTTGTTGTCAGCTTGTTGTAATATAAGCATACAGTATAAGACACTAAAAAGTTTGGCTCCTCTGTTACAGATTTTATTCAGTCATGACTGGTAAACAAGAAACTTAAAAAATACTTGCATTTAAATTGTCTCCTGCTCTGTGTTTTGAGATATAAAAATGATGGACATTTTATGTGTCTCCGATGTGTCATTTTATTGTTAGTTAAGCATGACAGAACTCAAATTTTATTGTCTGAAAAACCGTATTTGATCATTGATAAATCATATAAGATAAGCTGATATGACTCCCTGTCAATTTTGGGTTTTAAAGAATAGCTTCATCATCCTTTTTTTTTTTTTTCACTATACCAAAGATATTCCTGAAAGGAGTAAAAGATGCTTGAGCATTTCAGTTGTGACATCAGCCTTTATGTTCCTGGTTGGGGGTGGGGGTTTCTATTCAGAAAATTAGTATTTCTTTTTGAAACATTTTAGCCAAAGCCTCTCAATATAAGTGAATAACTTGCCTTCTGTTGTATTATCCATCTCTTTGCATAGAATGTGTTGAATCACTTGGTCAAGGTTAAGGACCAACAGTCTACAAAACCTTTTTTTTTTTTTTTTTTTTACATCATTCTTCATTTTGTGCATTTTTTTTCATCTTGGTTGTAATCCCGTGGACTTCCCACCACCAATTCACCTGTGTGTGATCACCACAGTCCCGTGCACTCTTCCTACCCCATTTTTTATCCCATTCCCCTTCTTACCCTGTAAAATGTCTTTGGTTTATAGTTGTTTGTTGCTTTTGTTTTAATTTTTTTAGAACTGGTTTTTCTCCCCCCAACCCCCTCCAATCCCTTACCCTTCTGCTAAAAACATCCAGTATTGGCCCTCCCTGGTGGTGCAGCAGGTTAAAGCACAGCACTAAGAGGCTTGAGTCACTTCCACGAGTTCGAGTTCGATTCCCGCCTGTCCCGGAGGTGACCACATGGCGTGGCAGACCTCTCCTGACCCGCCCGCTGCTCCCCTCAGCAGTGTACTTCTTCGATCTGCCTGTTCTGCACACCCCACTCTGTCTCTGGTGAATCCTCTCACCCTCCCCATCTCTGGCCTGTGCCCCAGTTCTGTATGAATAAATAAATAAATCTTTAAAAAAAAAAAAAACTTAGCAGCTAGAACTTAAAAAAAAAAAATCCGGTATTTTTCTTTTTCTTTCTGGCTTATTTCACTAAGCTTGAACCCTTCCAGCTCCATCCATATTGGGGCAAATGGCATGAGTTTATCTTTTTTGATTGCTGAGTGATATTTCATTGTGTATATGTACCACATCTTTTAAATCCAGTCATCTATTTTGGGTTGATTCCACGTTTTCCCTATTGTAAATAGAGCAGCAATAAACATGAGGTGCAGGTGTCCTTTTGAGTCAATGTTTTGGTGTCCTTTGGGTAGATACCTAGGGGTGGGATTGCTGGGTCATAGGGAAGCTCCATTTTTAGCAGTATGAGAAATCTCCACACATCTTTCCATAGTGGTTGTACCAGTTGGCATTCTCACCGGCAGTATAGGAGAGTTCCTTTTTCTCCACATCCTTACCAACATTTGTTGTTGCTAGTTGTTTTAAAATGTACCATTCTCACTGGTGTGAGGTGGTATCTTGCTGTGGTTTTGAATTGCATTTCCCTTATTACAAGTGATGATGGAGATTTTTTCATATGCTTGTTGGCCATCTGCATTTTCTCTTTGAAGAAGTGTCTTTTTGGATCTTCTATCCATTTTTTGATGGGTTTGTTCACTCTATTTTTTTTTAAGAATTATTTATTTATGCATACAGAACTGGAGTACAGGTCAGAGGTGCTGGGGCAGTGAGAGGATTCACCAGAGACAAAGTGGGGAGCAGAACAGGCAGATCAACGAAGTACATGCTGAGGGGAGCAGCAGGCGGGTCAGGAGAGCTCTGCCTCGCCATGTAGTCACCTCCAGGGGTGGGGATCGAACTCATGCTGAAGTGGCTTTAACTTCTTAGTGTGGTGCTTTAACCCACTGCGTCACCAGGGAGGGCCCTACAAAAACTCGTACTGGTGGAATCTTAGAAGCAGTTCCTTTTAAATCACTTTCAAGTCAAAGGTGTCTGTGAGCAGCAATTGCTAAAGTGCATTGCCTGGGAATCCTGGTTTGCAGAGTTGGAGGATGAACACACACAGAGTCTCCACCCCAATCTGACTTTTAGATGGATGTAGTATTTGATTTAGAAGGTTTCACGATTTTTACACATTTTTTGCAAGTAGACAATATCACATATCAATTTTAAAATTTGTTTTCTGGTTAGATATTTGAAGTCATAGCCCAGAAAAATGTAGTTGAAGCAAGAGACATTAAATCAAGTTAAAACAAATTTAGAGAAGATATTTAAAAGGCGATCAGTCAATATAGGGGAAGCAAGAATATAGGAAATACTCAAGGGAACCAGAATATAGTTGGAGATGGTTGCTCAGAAGAAAAAAAAATAATTTATCCAAAGTTGGTTGCATCCAGACTGACACTGTCAGAAAGGACAGCTCTTTACTCCAGGAAGAACGGGAGCTCATCAGACTGGGGAAGGTCCAGGGGCCTGAGACTAGTGAAGCTGCTATGATCTCATCATTCCCCAGGATTCTGACTAGGGGACCAAGCTGGACATTTGGAAGAAGGGCTGAAGAGTTCACAGAGACGCTTCTGTCGTGGCAGTAGGCCCTAGATGCTCCTCCCTAGATGCTCTTTCCTCCTTCTCAGCGGTTGGGGTACTCTCTCCTCTCTTTCCCACCTCCCCTTTCCTCTCCGGCGCCGAGCCCCACTCTTAGCAGGCGATCCCCGCCAGGGGGCGCGCCTTGCACTGTCAGTCGCCGCGTGCAGCTGCTGTCACTCGGGCGTCGTTGATATTCTCAAAGGAGCAGCTCTTTCCTTATGTGGGTGCCCACAGCCCTCCAATCCCTGAATACATCTGTAATTTCTAAGACTAAGCATCACACTCGCGCTGCCTCGATGCCCACCAGCCACTGCCGTCTTCCCTAGCACCTGAGTTGGGGAGAGCAGGAGGTCGACTGCGGCAGGTACCCCATAACCCGTCACAGGAATCCCCGACGCCCGGCAGGATCCCTCGCCTTGACCTTCTTCCACCCTCGGTCAGTCTGACGACGTTGCCCTCCTGGCTCAGTGCACCTCTAGCCCGAAGCTGCCCCGGTCCTGGCACGTTTGCACCCAGCACATTTGCACCGGGGCACTGGGGCATCCGTACCTGGCACCTGCTCCCTGGGTGGTCTCTCTTTGAAGCTCAGGCCATTTCCTTCCCCCCAGGACTTGGCCTCCACCCTCCTTCCTGTAGCCACAGACTGCACAGAGAGCGAGAGCCGCTTCCCCAAAGCCTCAGCCACCACTTACCTGCCTTTATCCTGCACACAGGAGTTGGGGAGAGGGCCCTTTCTGAGTCAGGTCCCGCAGCTGGCTCGCACAGCCTCCTTCCAAGAACCCGATCCTTCCCCCACTCTCCCACAGAGTGAAGACCCCTGTTGACTGGGGCAGAGGAAGTCCTCCCAGGATGTGTTTGCTTCTGTGGGTCCCCGCTCTGTTTAGATGCAGGGCCCCTCACACGACTGAGCTGAGGCTGATGGGCTTGTTCTGCTGACCAGACTAGGGCTGCTGGATCTCGGCTGCCCTCTTCATTCAAGGCCACTGAGGCCGGTGGGACAGTAGTCCCTTCTGGGGGCAAACTGTTAACTCAAAATTCCATCCTCCTTCCCCCAGGCTTGCATTTTTAAAAAAAGATTTATTTATGCAGACAGAGCTGGGGTACAGGCCAGAGGCTCAGGAGCGGCGAGAGACCTCACCAGAGACAGAGTGGGGAGCAGAACAGGCAGATGGTCGAAGTACACTGCTGAGGGGGGCAGCGGGCGGGTCAGGAGAGGTCTGCCGCGCCATGTGGTCACCTCCAGGGCAGGCGGGAATCGAACTCATGCTCATGCGGAAGTGGCTTTAGCTTCTCAGTGCTGTGCTTTAACCGCTGTGCCACTAGGGAGGGCCACAGGCTTGCATTTTTAAGGCCTTCTAAATGGATAACCTTATTTACATCTGAAGGAATTTTCTCAAATGATGTCATTTTTCTTTCAAATATTAAGGTCTGTCACCTTATAACTTTCATCTCTACATCTGGCTCTCATGTACCTGCTCTTAGAATTGGTCATAACCTCTGTTAATCTTTTGTTTTTATGTATTCTTGCAACAACAAAATAAGTGCCTTGTTTTGCTGGCATTCTTTTAAACTTGTGTAGAAGGAATTGTATTACTCATTCAGTGGTAGGATTTCCAGATCAATCCATGTGGCATCCATTCCTGCTGCTTCCTTTCCACCTTGCTCATCTGCCATGTCTTTTCTTCTTCATCTTCCTCCCAGTGCAACCATCATTCCCAAACATATTCTGCTTTCTGTGGTGCTTCTCCAGCACTAGAATGCATTGTCTCACCTGGGCCTCTTGCTAAAATGCAGGCTGTGATTCAGCACCCAGGAGTGGGGGGCTTAGCATTGAGTGTTAGCCAGTTCCCAGGTGATTCCTGGGGTCACACTTTGAGAACCAGGTCTTTATGGACCTCTGTGAGAATTCATTTTGGGTCGCTGGGTCAAGGGTGTGTGTTCATCTACCTTGATAGGACCCGTCCGCCTATCTGACTGACACAACCTCACCTCACAGCAGTAGAGGAGAAAGGTAGGAGGCAGACATTTGTGTAGGGAAGGGAGAAGGCCCCTCCTTGCTCTTGCCCAAGGTATGACCCCATCTCCCAACATGTGTCTGGTCTGGATCCAAAATGACCTCTTCCCCTTAATCAGAGTGACCCCAAGGCTCCAGAGGGATGTCCCTGGCCAGCAATGCACACAGCCAGGTCAGCGAGAGCCCCAAGCCTCACATTTAGCTTTATCTCTACAAACAGGCATTAAGAACCATGGGGTCTTGAGTTAGTCTGGGTTTCCTCCATCACTTTCCCTTTAACAGAGTGTAGTGTGAAATAGGACTCAAAACCTCAGCCTTGCCACTGGCCAGCAGTTATCCTGAGTCTGGCTTCTCTGTGAAATGAGACCATAATGACATAGCTGCAGTTTGTGGCTCCGGGCACCACGCTAGCAACTTCATCCATATGCCAGGAGGCCCACAGGGTCCCCACACCAGGTCTTCTGGCTTTTTCCCATGAGGAAAAGGAAGTTTGAGAAAGTGGAGTAATTACCACAAGGCCATGGAGCTGGACAGCGACAGTGTTGGGGTTCAAACCCAACCTCAGTTACTGCAGCAAAGCCCGTGCTAGCTCCTAGCGACACCATCTCCATGCCCTGACTTGCCCTTGCTACCAAGCCGTATTTCAGGGAGATTCACAAGGAAGTGAGGACTGTGCCTAGGATTTCCAGGCACTGATACTGAGGCTCTCTAACCAGGGGCAAGGCTGGGTCACAAAACTTGATAGCAAATAGGTTTTAGCAAATATGAGCCAGGTTTCCAGAAGCTGGTCCCTGAGGCTGAGCATTTAAGTGACAAGAGTGGGGGACTTTGGATCTCAGGCTTCAGGAAAGGGATTTTAAGGTTTCACATACAGTGGGGTTAGTATGGGTGGAAGTTGGGGAGAGTCAGGGGCTGGGTGGGGTCAGGAGATGGGTCGGGAGCGTGTTGTCAGTGGCTAAGTGTCTACACGTGTCTCGCTTGGTAATAACTGGTCACTCACTGTTTTGTTCAAAGGGTCCACAGATGTGTGAATGGCCAGTCTCCAGGAGTAAGGGATGCCACCTTCTAAGACTTGGTGCTGGGAACAGCCTGCTAGGTAGTTTTTAAAAACCCAAGGACTCTTTTCTCCACTCACACAGCCGTGCAAGCATCTGCTGGCCCCCAACCCTGGCCCCCGAGCCGGTCACAGTCAGAAGAGAGCATTTCACATTTGGACATTTTGCGATTTCACAGCACTCCACCTTTCACCTCTTGTCTACACCCTCTCATCCAGGGTTTACCATTTTAGAGTCAAAATTGAATCCACAGCAGTATTTCTCTAAAGGTTCAGGAAGCCTCCTGCACTTAGAGCAGCTTTTGGAGTCAAAATTCCTTTTGAGCCTACAGAATGCTCTTAGAGTTCAGTAGAATACCGTATAGTCTTCCGGTTTTTACAAGATACATAGATGTTGCCTTTGACTCGCAAGTCTGTGATGAGGTAGGGACCCACTTGACATGGAGACTCAACGGAATTAATTAGCTCATTATGTGAGGGTGAAATGGGATATCTTTCTGATTTCCATAACAGATCTTGAGAGCCGTAAGGAGTACACACTTTGGGGCCTTGCTACCCTGTTGACCCATTTCCCAGGTTAGTGGACAGAGGAGGGAGGTAGAAAATCTAGGGAGTGGACAGGAAAGTCGGGGAAGCAGATTGAGGCCTCTCATGCAGCTTCTGGCAGCCTTTTTCCAGCTAGTTTTCTGTCAATGATCCCCAGAGCCCGGGGAAATGGAAAGAGGGTACCCCTCTTTCTGGACAAGCTCAGGGTCCCCAGGTAGTTCTCAGGGGGTCTGAAGATGAGACTGCTGCGCAACTGCAAGAATAAAAGCCTGCCACGAGCTAAGGGCCATCCGGTAGCTGTGACCACAGCCACATGGGAGCGCTTCGTGGCCCCCAGCTAAACTCTGTGCCTGTTCCCTCTCTCCTCAAATCTCCGGACTCCCTATACCAAGTACTGCAGCATCGGCTTGAGGGAAGTGCCCAGGGGTCAGCCCAGTCCACCCTGCCAGCTCCAGAAACATCACCCCTGTTCTGACCGTGCTAGGGACTAGGGGTTCTGGCCCCACTGCCCTCCCGCTCCCCTGGGCCTCAGGCCCTGGGCCAGGGCTCAACAGACACAGGCAGCGGGTGGGGTTGCCCTTCTATTGGTCCAAGTCCTGAGTGTGACCTGGGTGAGACATGGAGGCGAGGAGGCCCACGAGGCTCAGCAGCGTGGAGAAGAGCAGCAGGAACGAGGCGGTGAGCAGCAGGGCGGGGAGAGCGCTGAGCGCCAGCAGCAGGAGGGCCGGCAGCAGGTGGCGCCACGCCGCAGCCGCCACGGGCCACAAGGAGCTCAGCAGGTGGGAGCCGGTGGTGAAGAGCGCGTGGCACAGCATCAGCGCCAGCAGCAGGTAGAGGATCCCCTCGAGACCCCACAATATGCGCTGCAGAGGCTGCCGCCAGCCAGATGTGCCCCACCAGTGGGCCCAGCTCCGGGGCACGTGGCACAAGCACCAGCGCACCCAGTCCTGCCGCGTGACCCAGGTGGACCAGGGCACTGCCCGCTGCGGCCCCTCGCCGGCCCCACCGGTGATGGCATCCGTCTCCACTCGCGGCTGCTGCATCGTGACTGGTGCGCCTGGGGAGAGGACCAGGCCAGCTGCAGGAGCAGCTGGAGACAGAGGGGTCAAGCAGGCACCCGCGTGGGTGAGCTGGGGCTTGGAGTTGGGAGTGGGGCTTACCTCTGGCAGAGCCACCTAAGTCATGTTGCTTCCCGAGGCGCCCAGGCCAGCCTGGCAGCCAGGGCTGAGCACCCACTCTCACTGACCCCCACCCTCCCCTGGGGGCCCCATTGTGACCCAGGCAGGGGTGGGGTCCAGCTAAGAGGGAAGCCACTGCAGGGGTGAGGCTCGCCTGACTTCCTCCCCAGGGGCCCACCAGGCTGTCAGGGCAGCCGGGTGCGAGCCCACAGAGGTAGTTCCTCATGCTTTCCTGTGGGAAGCCCTCCCCAGTTCCCTTCCCGTCCTCCGTGGCCAATCACCGCGTCTACTCTCCTCCCTTACAAGTCTTTCTCTCTGGACCCTCATTCTCCAGAATCACAAAAGAGGCTGGCGTGGCCACCCCACCCCACAAGATCTCCACTGGCTGCAAATCCTGCCTTGGCTTCCCTGTTCCCCATCTCACTTCACACATAGACCCGAGGATCTACTGCCTATAGTGTGAGTCAGAGGTTCCCTGCAATAGAGTTTGGGGATAAGAGGCCCTCTTCTGCCTGCCCAGCCCAGGGTCGAAGAAAGAAGGTCTGAGGAAGCAGCAGGGTCAGTGTATTTCTGCAAAGCACCCCGTGCCTCAGCAGGGCACTCACACCCAAGGATGGAGGCAGAAAGCCAGGCCCAGCAGGGCCAAGGGCACACCGCGGGCTCCCAGGACCAGCCCCAGGCCCAGGAGCAGCAGTAACAGAGCATCCTGGAGGCCGAGTTGTCTCGTGACGGCCACCATCGGTAGGAGCAAAGCTTCTTGCTGCCCTGGACCCTCGCCGGCCCCCTGACTCTGGCCCCTTGTGAGAAGTGTGTGCTGTGGCCAGGTGGGACCTACAGGCCTGCAGAGAGAGAGGGTAGCAGTTGAACTTTAGGAGGCTGACCACTTGCTTACCTGCCCAGGCCTTCCCACCTGTCAGGCTGACGTCCACTTACCCATGGAGCAGGTCAAAGGTCAGGAAACTGACCAGTAGCAGCAGCAGCAAGGCTGGGCCAATTGTGGAAAAGACTGCCGGAACTGACAGCCCCAGCGCCCCCAGCCCTAGGACACTGTCCAGGAGCCGGGCAGGGCTAGGGTCCCAGGGGGACACACATGGACACACTGGACCACCTGACCCCTCCCCAGCCCCCAGGCCCCTGAGAGAGACTGGGATGGGGTGAACAAGGGCTTTAGGCCTGGGTAAGCAGAGATGGATCATGGAGGAAGGTGGCCCCTTACAGGAAGGACACTTGTACGGGGCTGGGAATGTGGGAGGGGCAGGACCCTGCAGACACTCAAGGGTAAGCTCAGGGAGTGGGGAATTGGGCTTTTTGGGATTCTCCCCCTCCCCACATGCCCACCCACCAAACCCTCCTCACCTCCTCCCCCTTTGGTCAGCCATTCTGGGACTGGGCAGCTGGGGTATTGTGACCTATTGCCAGGTGGGGCCCCAGCCAAGGGGCTTGCTGCTGGTTCTGGCCTCATAGGAGTTGGTGGCTTGTGTGGGGCTTAGCCAGAATGAGGTTGGCAGTTGCTGAGGACTAAGAGTCTTCCTCTTACCTTTGTTAATTCTCTGCCCTAGGCCCTCCCGCGGGGGCAGGGTCTCAGGAAATCATCTAACCCCACTGCTACACAGACAGCTGACCAGGCAGGGAGGGTTGTCGTCTTTTTCCCAGGACTGTGGCCCTGGCATGCAGACCTAGGCCCTGCCAAGAACCTAACCTGGGGTTTTCTGGGGTTGGGCCTCCACATGACCTGCTAAATGAGGCAGGAGTGGCTGTTTAGGGAGGTGGGTGGTGTTTCAGATACCTGGGTTTCAGAAACAGCGTGAAGCAGGTGAATGAATGTAAGAAGGCTGGAACACAGTAACCTCCAAGCTGGAGGTTAAGGTTACCCTCTGAAAATGAAATTAAGGACCACATATGTGTTTTGAAAGGACAGGTCACCTGGAAAAGAAAACTTTTGCCTCTGATAATGGCTGGTAGTTAACAGAAGTTCAGCACAGCTCGGCTGAGTGACTTGGGAGGCAAGAGTGGAGATGGGCTGTCACTGAGAGAGCTTTAACCCTTGTTACATACCAGACTTCGAGGGAAACTGATGGGGATGGGGTGAGGGGAAGCGATCAGGCAGTCCCCAAGGGAACAGTAAGCCATACTCAGTCTCTGTGTCTTCCTCTAGCAGGTCCTGCACAAAGACTCACGTCTGGTGACCTTGACATCTTTGGTGGTGACAGGCTCAAAAGTCCATAGGGTCTTGCTTCTGGTCCTTGGGGCCGTTCATTCATTCATTCTTGCTTTGGCTCTTCCCAGAGCAACAAAGCAATGCTCACAAAATTCTGAGAGAACAGGATTTCCAGTCTAGAGAAGTGTGTCTGCGCAAATGATTATCAAGTATGAAGGTAGAATAAGACATTTCAGGCCATGTAAGTTTTCAAAAATTTGAACTTGCCTACATTCTTTCTTAGGGCGTTATGGGAGGATGTGCTTCAACAAAACAAGGAATTAAACTAAGGGACAGTATGGAATTCAAGAAACGAGGCCAAGCCAGAAGAGGGATGGTGAGATTGGTCTGACACATCAGTTGTATTCCTTGTGAAGAAAGCAAGTAACCCAGCCTGGAATCAAAATTGGGATTGATGCTCCTGGAGGAATGAATTCAGAAGAAAATAAAATTGATTGATTATCTGCTGCCCTTGACATGTTCACAATATTGGTAATTTCTGTTGGAAGTTTTGGTACTGAATTAGCAATTGGTGCCTAGAAAACCACAATAAAACAAAGTAATTGCTAACTCCAGGGAACATACAAGCACACCAAAATATGACTCCATGATGGGAAACCCACGAGGATTACAATTGAGATGAAAAAAAAATGTACAAAATGATGTAAAAATAAATTATTATATGAAAAAAGTACACCAAAATATTTGCATGGTTTTAAGTACTGAATATCGACTATAAACAGTGATTTAATTCTTTAGAGAGGATACAATGAGGAGAAATGTATGTTTCTATACTTGCACATTTGTGTTTGGGTGTGTGTTAGGAAAGCTAAATCCTTAATTCCATAGTAAGAGATCCACAGATAATGTTATCCACAGAAAAATCAAGAAGTAGCATTTGAAACATTGAGGGAAATACAAGAAGAATTAAAAGTGAGAATGGAGAAATGTTGAAAAGAGTCTTCTGTTTCAAACCTAAACATGCAAAACTATTTTATAGTATTTTGATGAAACGACTTAGTTTTTAAAAAGCAATTCAGTGTAGGGTCATATCGTGGGGCTCTATCCTTCCAAAATGAATGAAATACCATCTTCCTCATGTTCTGTGGATATACTCTGTGGCTTGAGATTTGCATGGATGGCATCAAACACCACCAGACACAGGAAGTTAGAATATCATGCATTTTAGATGGAGGCACTGGAAAACTCCCAGGCTTCTCAGCCTGTAATGTGCACGTGAGTCCTGAGGCTGAAACCTCTGGGGATCTTGTCAAAATGCACATTCTGATTGGGCTTGGGGTACTGACTTCATATTTCTAACAAGATCCCAGGGGACGCTGATGCTGTTGATCCTCGGCCACATTTGAAGAGCAAAGTTCTCGAAGACAGTCATGAGCAGAAGAAAGGCAGCTGGGGGAGCTGGTGGTGAGGGGAGGATGGAAGCACTAGTGGGAGATGCCTCCCTGTGCAGCTAGGTGCACAGGGAATGCCTGTGGAAGCAGATGGCACTGAAAGGCAATCTGAGTGGTGAGCCCCTGACCTCGGTGAACATGTACAAAACCCCTTACAGATGGCTGGCACAAAGCAAACTTAGCCACCAGGACTCACAAGAAGCAGGTTTAAAGCACTGGTGCTGACTCAGTGCATTTGTACCCCAACGCGGAGCCCCCCCTTGGTAGCAAGTCAGGGGCTTATGTACACTTTAGTTTCTACAAGGTTCTGGGTGGGTCTGCATGGCCAGATATGACGCGGCTACATTCCAAGAGGTAAGTCGTACAGTTGCACACCAAGGAGTGAGCGGTCATGGGACTGCTTAGGTCCATTCTGCGTCATGGAGGTACATGGGCTAACCTGAGGCAAGACTCAGATCAGGGACTGAGTTGCATACCAGAAACTGAGCAAAGATGATTGCTAAGGGCCCCAGGCTGCTTACCTCAGGTGACCATGCTTCACTGACACACCAGGAGAGTACTCATGCCTGAGTAGCTGGAGTAGATGGGAGCCAGGGGAGAGGTCAGGGAGATGAGACTGGAGAGCTGTGGGTGAAGAAACTTAAGCCAGGAGGAATTCATCATGATGAGGCTGCTATGGGGGCAGGACTTCAGGATGTGGGATCTTCAGGAGTCAGCGATGTCCTAGCTCCCATATGAAGGAGGTCGTTCACAGCCCTCAGTGAAACTTAGATGATGTTGGGGGCCAGAGGCAGGGAAGTAGCCAGGTGGGCTTGTAGCGGGGAACAACCATCAGGGTCTGTTCAGGCCAGTTTCTATTTCCACCTGAGGTGTCCTAGCCTCTGCCCCCAGGAAGGATTCCCCACAGTACCTGTTGCTTCAGCTGCACCTGATTCTGCTCTATGCTTTGGGGACCCTCTGCTTTGGCATCCCTTAAGTTTTTCTGGGACCTGACAGTGGTCATACAGGCTGGGCATTCCAAAGTGGGACCCTGACCTGTGTGGGCATGGTAACTTCCTTTCAGGGACTCACTGGCCCTCTCCACAGAGCTCAGAGGGTGACCAGTTGCCTGGAGGAGCTCCAGCCATGCTCTGAGGCTGACCCTGCTGGCAGTGGGCTTCATCCAGGATTGCTAAGGCGTATTCCTTCCGAGAGGTCTGGTTAGATTGGCCCACAAGAATGATACCCACTGCTCATTTTAGGTGGCTTACTTTGTTTATATAGACAGTGGCACGAAAAATATTTGCTCAGGGCTGGGTGTATTCCAGAGGATTCCTGACCTCCTCTGGGCAACACTTCTTAGGTGGGAATGGCAGTATCTCCCTCGCCTGCGCCTTGGGGGGACAAACCATTGGCCAGAGCACAGTGGATTCACCTTCATTCTTGTATGTTTGTCCCTGGAGTGGGGGGATCCACAGGGTGGGTTGAAGGGGAGGGTCTTGCATTTTGGAGTCCTGGGTTGGAGAGAAAGGAAGACAAGGGGGAGGGCAGGACCAACATCAAGCCTCCGCTGCCCCTCCACCCCCGCCCCAGCTAGGCGAGTAGCATCAGGCTTCTTTCCTCTGGTTATATAACCCCAGAACGTGGCAGCCAGCAAGAAAAGGAGTAGGGGAGGGGAGGGAGAGAAGAGAGGAGAGGCGGGATCTGGGTGACGGTGGGAAGGGCTGCCTCTGGCTGGGCCTGTCTGGCTGTCCTTTAGCAGGATTCCTGGACACCAGCCCTCCAGAGTCCCCAGTCTCCCGCCTCAGTTTCCCTCCTTTTTCGGTAGCACCTCCTGGCAGGGACCTCTAGTTCTGGAGAGAGCTCCCTCTCCGGTTCTAGTCTCCTTCCCAAAGTTTTCAGCTTTCCTATCTTGGCCATGTCAATTGGCCGCTGGGAGCCTCAGTTTACCCGTTTGGAAAATGAAGCTTGAGAGGCCGCGCACAGGTGCAGTCCCACACTTTAAGGGAGTGACCAGAGGGGCTGTGCCTACCGTGAAGAGGGGTGCTCTGGGAGGCCAGGGAGCTCCGGTGGCCAGAGAAGGAGGGGGCGTCGTTGGGTGGGGAGACCTCCGGACGGCCCCTCTCCGTGATTCCCTTGATGCACCCCACCTAGTCCTTACTTACTCCACTCCTGGGTGGGAGACCAGCGACCAGGCAGTGGGCGGGCCGAGGCTGAGGGGGCGTGTGGCGACAGCAGGAAGGGGCGGGGGGCTCCCGAGCACCGGGCAGGAAGAGACGAACCTACCTACCGCGGGTCAGTCGGAGCCCGCTCCTCCCCACTTCTGGACCTCGCCATGTGGGGTCTGCTGCTCGCCCTGGCCGCCTGTGCGCCTGCGGTCGATTTGGGTCTGGGGGCGACCCAAGCCTCTGTGCTAGGCCTCGCGTCACCCCTGGCCACCCAGGCCCCAGTCTCGACCCCCGCCCCAAGTAGCAGCCCGGCACAACTGCCCACGGAGAAGACGAACGGTGAGCTGCGAGCGGAGGGCCCCCTTCTTTTCCGTCGGTGGTCCCACCTCCTGCCTCCCTGGCGACCCTTCCTGCCTCCCTCACTCACTGGCTCGCTCACAGGCTCAGCTCACTCCCTGACTCCCTCCCTACTCCTGACTCCCTCCCTACTCCTGACTCCCTCTTTCCCTCTCCCCCTGCTCACTCACTCTGGGCCTCCTGCTGACTCAGCTGCCCCTGTCTTCTGCAGCTCTGCTCAGCCTTCCGGGGACTGCCAGGGGGTTGCTACTCCTCTTTCGCAGCCCCCAGCCCTTCCTTTTTCCTTGGTGATGAAACTGAGACCCTTCCTTTGCTGAGACCACACCAGGAGGTGGGAAGAGATGCAGGAAGAGACGCAGAAAGAGCCCTGTAGGAGAGGGCACAGCTAGAAGGAAAGAGCCAGGAAAGGGGGCTGGGGGGCCACACTCTGGCGAGGCTGCCTGGGACCGGGGCACCCCGGGGGTGGGGGTGGGGTGAGAAGCCAGAAGCCTGCCTGACTTTCCAACTTTGCTGGTTGTGGGAGCAGAGGGCGGGAAGGCAAGCGGAGGCAGTCCAGGAGGGCTTCTGAGAGGAGGCAGTTGGAACTATGTCCTGAGGGTGAGTATCTCTGAATTCCTTCCCTGAAGGAAGAGAGAGGCAGTTTGGAGGAAAGAGTGTGTGCAGAGGCAGCAGCTCTGCAGGTACCTGTGGCCCTGGAGCGGGACACCGAGGACCTAGTGGCACCTGCGCTCGGGCTGAAGGGTGGACACGGAGCTCAGCCCAGAGGGCATACCCAGTGAGGGAGGTGGCATGGGGGCTTCGGGCATGAGGGGGGGTCAGAGTCAGGGGAGGGTCCTCCAGGAGCACGTGGGCTGTGCTGGGAAGAGACAGTGGCCATTAGCAGTGAAATCAGAGGTGAGTTGGCAGCCAGGGCAAAGGCCTAGAGGTAAGGAACCAAATAGTTCCCAGTGGCTGGGTGCCAGAGGGGGTCAGCGCTTGCCCAGCAGGTGGTCAGGCAGGAAGGGGAAAGAGCCAGCAAGTGGCGTGAGGCCGGTTGGGATCAGACTACACGGTTAAGCCACACGCAGGTGCTTGTGGGGCCTGCCATAGGCTTGCAGGCTTCCTCGCACTGGCAGGCCCCTGCCTGGGGTTTTATGTTCTTCTCACTCCCTGCTGCGCCTCCCTGGCCCCCAGGGACTTCAGAACAGCATGTCCGGATTCGGGTCATTAAGAAGAAAAAAATCATCGTAAAGAAACGCAAGAAGCTGACTCGCTCCAGACCCCTGGGGACAGCCAGTCCTTCACTGACCACCAGCCCCGCGGGAACCCTCGACCCTCCCAAGCAACAAAAACCAGGTGTCTCCCCCACTGAGGTCCCGCATAGCTCCTGGCCTCAGGGGTGTGGGCAACCCTCCCACTGGCCCTGGGTCTGGTCCTGTCTCACTGCTCTTTCTCTGCACCAGACTGTCCCCCTCTCGGCCTGGAGTCCCTGCGAGTTTCAGATGGCCAGTTTGAAGCATCCAGCAGCCAGTCCTTCGGTCTTGGACCACACCGGGGACGGCTCAACATCCAGGTCAGCGGCCCTGGCTCAGAGCAGGGTGACCCCTAGACCTTGCTGCCTGTCCACCTTTTTCCCACGGACACGACCCATCCCACGCAGCTCAGTCAGGCCTGATCGCTCGTCCGTCCTGTGTCCACAGTCAGGCCTGGAGGACGGAGACCTGTACGATGGGGCCTGGTGTGCCGAGCAGCAGGACACTGAGCCCTGGTTTCAGGTGGATGCCAGGCACCCTACCCGCTTCTCAGGCATTATCACACAGGGCAGGAACTCCATCTGGAGGTGAGACAGGCTAGCTCCGGGCCCAGAAGTCGTGAGGAGCGGGGAGTCCTAGGGGTTACTGATGACATCTCCTCACCTCTCCTGCCAGGTATGACTGGGTCACATCATTTAAGGTCCAGTTCAGCAATGACAGTCGCATCTGGTGGGGGAGCAGGAACCTCAGCAGTGGGATGGATGCAGTGAGTGGTCCCGGGGTACCTGGGGGTTGGTCTCTGCACCCACTGGCGCATGCTGGCCTGGACTGGGGCTCCCCTGAGGAGTTGGGAGACTTGCATCCCAGGAGAAAAGGGGGTGCTCTCTGCATGGTGCTACCCAGGAGGCAGCTTGGGAGTCTGCCTGCTTCTGAACATGCCTGTGTCCTCCCAGAGACTTCCACCATGGTGTGGGTGCCCTTCGTGGCACAGTTTCCAGCTGGAGCACCCCTCTGGTAGTGGGCCTGGAGTCACTGCCTCTCTGCCTACCTTCTCGTGGCTCTGGCTTGAGTGGGTTTGATGGTGAGCTGGGAGGCCTCAACTCCTCCTTTGGCTGCCGCCTGTCAAGCCGCCTCACCAAAGGACTTGATGCCCCTAGGTATTTCCTGCCAATTCAGACCCAGAGACACCAGTGCTGAATCTCCTGCCAGAGCCCCAGGTGGCCCGCTTCATTCGCCTGCTACCCCAGACCTGGCTCCAGGGGGGTGCCCCTTGCCTTCGGGCAGAGATCCTGGCCTGCCCCATCTCAGGTGGGCAGTCAGACAGGGGCCAGGTGGACAGGCTGCACCCTCCACCGCGAACTCACCTTTGCTGTGGCCTTGCGCTCTGCCAGATCCTAACGGCCTCTTCCCTGAGCCCCCTGTGCTGGCATCCTCTGACCCTCTGGACTTCCGGCATCACGACTACAAGGCCATGAGGAAGGTCAGACATAAGGGCAGTGACCAGGCGGACTAGGAGGAGCCTCTGCCTAGCTCGGCCCCTGCCCACCTGCCCACCAGGGCTCACCCTGCTACCACCCAACCCTCGCGACTCCCTCCCCTCTGCCGCTCACCTTCCTCTCCTTTTGGCCCCTAACCTGGCGTAGCTGCTTCTGCTCCTGATGTAGTTCTGTGCCTTGAGTTCCTGCGAGGGTCCAGCTGCGCACCCTGACACTCAGCCCCTTGTGATGCGGCCTCCCCTGTCCTGACCCCCGCTTCTCCGCTGCTGCTCCGTCCTGTTCTGCCTCATGGTGCCTCCTCCTGTGCGCCCCACTGGCTTCTCCAAGTCCTTCCAGCTCTGCCTGTGCTCTGCCCTCTGGGCCCTCCCATGCCCATGCCATGCTACACTCTGCCCCCAGCTGATGAAGCAGGTGAACGAGCAGTGCCCCAACATCACCCGCATCTACAGCATTGGGAAGAGCTACCAGGGCCTGAAGCTGTATGTGATGGAAATGTCAGACCAGCCTGGGCAACACGAGCTGGGTACTGGCTGAGGGGGTGAGGTGGGCCCAGGGCGGGGTGCGGGCGGGAGGCAGCTGCGAGCCCCTGTGTGTCTCTCAGGGGAGCCCGAGGTACGCTACGTGGCCGGCATGCATGGGAACGAGGCCCTGGGCCGGGAGCTGCTCCTGCTCCTCATGCAGTTCCTGTGCCTTGAGTTCCTGCGCGGGGACCCCCGGGTGACCCGGCTGCTCACCGAAACACGCATTCACCTGCTGCCCTCCATGAACCCTGACGGCTATGAGACGGCCTTCCGCCGGGTAGGTGACTGGCACGAGGGCTCCCTGCTCCTTCCGCCCTGGTGCCCGGGGCTGGCTGAGCTGGAGCAAGCCTTTCCCCTGCCAGGGCTCAGAGCTGGTGGGCTGGGCAGAGGGCCGCTGGACCCAGCAGTTCATTGACCTTAACCACAACTTTGCTGACCTCAACACACAACTGTGGGAAGCGGAGGACGATGGGCTGGTGCCCGACACTGTCCCCAACCATCACCTGCCGCTGCCTACTTACTATACCCTGCCCAATGCCACTGTGAGTATCTGGGGGCAGGTGACAGCCCCCACCCTGGGGACTCCCGTCCCTTTCCTGCCTCTCCTGACCTACCCTTGTCCAGGTGGCTCCAGAAACTCGGGCTGTGATCGAGTGGATGGAGCGGATCCCCTTTGTGCTGAGCGCCAACCTCCACGGGGGCGAGCTGGTGGTGTCCTACCCCTTCGACATGACTCGGACCCCGTGGGCTGCCTGCGAGCTCACTCCCACCCCAGACGATGCTGTGTTTCGCTGGCTCAGCACCGTGTATGCTGGCACGAACCGGGCCATGCAGGAGCCGGACCGCCGGCCCTGCCACAATGAAGACTTCTCCTTGCGGGGCAATATCATCAACGGGGCCGACTGGCATACAGTCCCCGGGAGTATGTGCCCAAGGGTGGGGTTGCCCCCGGGCCCCAGCCCTGCCCTGGTAGGACAATCTGCTGTCCTCTACAGCACTGGGCTCACTTCCCACTGGCAAGTGTCTCCCAGAGGAGGGCACCAGAGGGGTGGGCTCCTGTGCTGCCCCCTGACTCCCCGAACCTGTGGTACCCTAGGCATGAATGACTTCAGCTACCTACACACCAACTGCTTTGAGGTCACTGTGGAGCTGTCCTGTGACAAGTTCCCACATGAGAGTGAGCTGCCCCAGGAGTGGGAGAACAATAAAGAAGCCCTCCTTACCTACCTGGAGCAGGTGGGATCTGAGTGCCCCTCTCCCCTGCAGAGTTTGACTTCCTCAGGGGTCTTTGAAGGTCCAATACCGTGGGTCAGGCTTGTTGGCATCAGGTTGCCTCAGAGACTTGCCAGGAGGGTGGCATCTGACAACATCAGTGGGAGGAGACTCTGGGGGCCCACAGGGTGGTCCACAGAGCTGCCCAGGACAGTCTCCTGTGGGCAAGGGTAGGCAGGGCCTGTCACCCAGTCATAGCTGCTTCAGATGCCACTGGGGCTCAGGAGCCTTCTAAGGGCTCCCTAAGTGTGACTTCCAAGGGTCCCAGAGCCACAAGCCCAGTAGCGAGGGTCTGCATTGTGGAAGCCCGAGGATAGGCCCTTGGTGTTTATAGTTCTCCCGGCCCAGATGCCATTGGTCACTTAATAGGTCTTTTATCAGAGTACCAGCACCTGAGAACACAGTAGACTTCCCTCCTTCATCAAGTTCGCAGGGGAACAAAACCAAAAATGAACTGAAGGGCGCTCTCAGCAGAAGGGCCAGGGTTTCGCTGACCTTCCCACACAGGTGCGCATGGGCATCACGGGGGTCGTTCGCGACAAGGACACAGAGCTGGGGATTGCAGATGCTGTCATTGCCGTGGAGGGGATCAACCACGACATAACTACGGGTGAGTGGCTGGGGGTGGGTGAGTGAGGGCCCACCCCCACCTTAGGGTGGGTCAGAAGCTGAGGGTCCCTGGGTCCTGATCTCACCCTTCACTCCTCAGCCTGGGGCGGGGATTACTGGCGCCTGCTGACCCCAGGGGACTATGTGGTGACCGCCAGCGCCGAGGGCTACCACCCAGCAACACGGAACTGTCGGGTCACCTTCGAAGAGGGTCCCGTGCCCTGTAATTTCCACCTCACCAAGACTCCCAAACAGAGACTCCGAGAGCTCTTGGCAGCGGGGGCAAAGCTGCCTCCAGACCTGAGGAGGCGCCTGGAGCGACTGAGAGGACAGAAGAATTCACAGTCCAGCTGAAGAGCCCCAAGGGCACGGGCAGGCTGGACCTGTCCGGAACTGAAGCGGGAGGATCTGGGAGGGCGGGCGAGTGGGGAAGGGGTTCCTCGGGCTCATTAAAGCGGCCTGGCACCTCAGCCACCTCCTCTGTGCTGTGTCCCAGACCCCCGCCCCTCAGCAGGGCCTCGGCTCTCCTCCCCTAGCCAGCATTATTCCGCACGCTCTTGGACACTTAGCTGCAGAAGGAACTGGGAGGGGCACCCTCCCCCCCAGGTTCCTGAAGTTAGGGTTTTAGCTGTACCCGTCAGCAGTGCTGCAGGTGTCACTGTGGCGAGTAACATTCTGTAAGCACCTGCTTGAGGCCAAGCAGGGGAAGGGTGAAGGGTAAACAGCACCCCTAGACCTCCGGGGATGCCAGGCAGGAGAGGGTGCGGTTGGGTACAGTGTGGGGCAGGCTGGGGGCCCAGGTGGGATTTATACACAGCCAAGGGTGTCTTAGGAGCGGTGATCCAAGGGCTTCGGCGGAAGGTGGCCGAGGGAGGGGTGTGAACAGGGCCAGCTCCAAGCAAAGCTCCTTGGAGACAACAGCTGAGAGGGCTTGAGCTGGTTCCCGGCCATGGCTGGAGCGTGTGGGTAAAACTAAGATCCACCAGTTTCTTTGAGACTAACTGACGGGGAACTTATGTGTCAGTCTGTGTTTTGCCAGGAAACTTTTTTTTTTTTAAAGATTTACTTATTTATACAGATAGAATGGGGGCATAGGCCAGAGGTGTGGAAAGTGAGAGGAGTCACCAGAGACAGAGTGGGGAGCAGAGCAGGCAGATCCACTGAAATACATTGCTGAGGGGAGCAGCGGGCGGGTCAGGAGAGGTCTGCCGCGCCATGTGGGTCACCCCCCTGGCCAGGGATCAAACTCATACTGCAGCTGCTGTGGATAGCTTCACAGTGCTGTGCTTTAACCTGCTGTGCCACCAGGGAGGGCCGAGGAAAACAATTCTTTCTAGTATCTCAAGCATGGGGGAATTTCGGCTGAAAGTTGGAGGTCAGGGTGTTCGATGAGCTAGATGAGGAAGAGAAAGGTGTTTTACCTAGATAGCAGAAAGCCGCTGGCTGATGTGGGCCACTGCTGAAGCAGGTGTCACTACCATCACCTGAGCCATCTGCAAGCATCCTTGATCACGCCTTTGGTCACTGACCATGGCTAGCGCTAGAAACAGAATAACTTTGTCCTGCTTTCTAATCTCCAGCCTAGGATGTCCACTGGCAAAATCTAGCGGTAATCTCGCTGGCAAGGAAGCAGCTCCCCTACCCTTTGGAGGAGCCCGGGGGCCCACAGAGGCAGGACGGGGGAGCTACTAGCAGGCAAGCCAGGACCCCGACCCACATACGTGCTAGGTCATCTCTGCCCACTGCTGGCTGTGTGCGTCTCTGTGTTTCTCGGTGTCTCTGTCTCTGCCGCTCTTACATTTTCATTCTCAGATCATCAAGAGGGACTTAGTGCCGCGTTACCCTGCATCTTCTCCCCTGAACCCCAACTCCTTTTGTGCATATCACTTTTTTCAAAAAAAATTTTTTTTATTCATTGAAGCTTAATATGCCAATTGAAAAATGCATTTAAGTGTACAGTTTATTGGCCAGAGTGTGTGTAAACACAGGGTGCAATTATATACTGCAAGCAACTCATTTTAAATGTAAAAGTACCTTGAAAGTAAAAGGAGGAAAAAAGAGGTACCAGGCAAACATGAATCACAGGGTAGCAGAAGTGAATATCGTACTATCTGTAAAGTTGACTTAAGGACAGAGAAAATAAGCAGACAACAGAAAGGGCTATTAGATAATGGTATAACTGAACACACCCACTTGTCTGCTGGAATGTTCCAGCGGCTTTCTCTCTTGGGTAACCTCGAAACAGCTGGCTCAGTGCAGCTAAAATGGCCTGAGAACTGGAGGGGAGGGCCTAGCACACCCAGCCAGGGAAGGGGACAGGAGGTGCCTGTCGCTACAGCATTGTCAGTGAGTTCCTGGGGCCCAGTATCCCCCCAAAAGATGTAAAGTGACCTTAGAAGGAGGACTGTCTCCTGTTTTAAAGATTTATTTATTTACACAGAGAAGTACTGGGGTACAGGCCTGAGATGCAGGGGTGGGGGTGGTGAGAGGATTCACCAGAGACAGAGTGGGGAGCAGAACAGGTGGATTGATGAAGTACACTGCTGAGGGGAGCAGCGGGCGGGCCAGGAGAGGTCTGCCGCGCCATGTGGGTCGGCTCCCTGGCTGGGGACTGAACTCGTGCAGCAGTGACTGCAGACAGCTTCATAGTGCTGCACTTTAACCCATTGCACAACCAGGGAGGGCCCTGGGGCTTCTTTTTATTTTATTTAAAAAGTTCTTTGCTTGAGCTCTTTTACCAATGATAACAGCCCTGCTTGGCCTGGTAAGTCATCTTGCAGACACTTTGGGACATTATTTGCCCAAACATTCTGCCCAGTAAACTTTTTTGTGTGTCCTTATCGGGGTGTGCCTTTGTATTACACTAGACATGCAGGACAGGATGAAGGACTTGTCAGCACAGCCTAGTAAAGCTGAAGGGTGCATACACCCCTACTCCTGGGTGTACGAACAATATATTCAGCAAGATTCTTACACATGTACAAAAGTATATATGAATGCTTAGAGCAGCTTTATTTTTTTGTAATTTATTTATGCAGACAGAACTGGGGTACAGGCCAGAGGAGCAGGGATAGTGAAAGGATTCACCAGAGACAAGAGTGGGGAGCAGAACAGGCAGACTGATGAGTACACTGCTGAGGGGAGCAGCGGGAGAGACAGGAGAGGTCTGCTGTGTCATGTGGGTCACCTCCCTAGCTGGGGATTGAACTTGTGCTGAGGTGGCTGTGGCTAGCTTTGTAGTGTTGTGCCTTAACCCGCTGACCACCAGGGAGGGCCCATAGGGCAGCTTTATCTGTAATAGAACTAAACTGGAATCAGTGTGAGTACCCATCAAGAGAATGAAGAATGAAATATGGTACATTTATGCAATGGCATTGCATGCAGGAATGAAAATAAACACTAAATACAACATACACGACACAAAAACAATGTTGCGTGAAGCAAGAAAAACCCAAGAGGGAAATTGAATTATATTGCATGTGGATGCAAGAGGGATAAAATAATAAAGAGAAACAAAGACATGGTTATGATAAAATTCAGGATTGTGATTGATTCTGAAGGGAATAACAGAGCAATAATTGGGGAGCAGGATGTGGTGGGGGGTCCCCACCATGCTGCTGGAGTGTTAGCATTTAAAGCTAATATAAACACTCATGCGGAGGTTTCCATGTGAGCATAAGCTTTCATTTCTCTGGGGTGAATCCCCAAAAGTGTGATTTCTGGGTAATACAATAAGTGCCTATTTAGTTTTGTGAAAACTGCCAAATCATTTCCAGCACTTCTGTACCATTTCCTACCCGCTATGTACGAGAAAGCTGACTTTTCCACAGACTTAGCACCATTTGGGATTACACTATCCAGTGTGTTAGCTACTAGGATGCGTGTGTAGTGACAGCGTGTTGTGCGTTTAAGATCTCTAATGGTTAACTATCATGAGCACCTTTTCTTGTGTTTATTAGCTAGCATATCTCCTCGTTGGTGAGATATCTATCTGTTCATGTTATTTGTGATCTTATATTTTTTAGTATTTTTTAAAATATTTATTTATTTGTGCATACAGAACTGGGGTACCGGCCAGAGGTGCAGGGGCGGTGAGAGGATTCACCAGAGTGGGGAGCAGAACAGGAAGTTCGATGAAGTACACTGCTGAGGGGAGCAGCAGGCAAGATAGGAGAGGTCTGCTGCGCCATGTGGGTCACCTCTGGGCCAGGGACTGAATTGTACTGAAGCAGCTGCAGCTAGCTTGCAATGCTGTGTCCAACCCATTGCATCACCACCAGGGAGGGCCGGCAATTGTATTTTTTTAAAGATCTGTTTTATTTGGGCCTCCCTGGTAGTACAAGAGGTTAAAGCGCAGCACTATGAAGCGGTCTGCAGCATGAGTTTGATCCCTGGCCAGGAAAGTGACCCACATGGTGCAACAGACCTTTCCTGTCTCACCCGCTGTTCTCTTCAGCAGTGTGTTTCAGTCAGTCTGCCTGTTCTGTTTCCCACTCTGTCTCTGGTGAATCTTCTCACCTCCCCACACCTCCATCCCTGTACCCCAGTTCTTGTATGCATAAATAAATAAATCTTTCTTTAAAAAGCAACTCTAAATTACACACACAAAAGATTTGCCTTATTTATTTATGCATACAAGAGCTGGGGTGTAGGCCAGAGGTGCAGTGGGATGAGAGGATTGACTAGAGACAGAGTGGGGGGCAGGCAGATTGACTGAAATACACTGGGGAGGGGAGCAGGAAAGGTCTGCTACACCATGTGGGACAGCTCCCTGGCTGAGGCTCAAACCCATGCTATGGTGGCTGTGGATGGCTTTATAGTGCTGAGACTTAACCCCCTGCGCCACCAGAGAGGCCCTGTCACTGTATTTTGTTTTAAATGTTGAGGTTTGAGAGTTCTTTAGTCCACTTTAAAAAACGTTTTCTTATTTTCTGAGTTTTGCATATGCAAATGTCATATGCATCTAGTCTGATGTGTCTCCTAAAGTGGCTCACCTTTTTATTCTCTTAACAGTGTTCCTTGCAGAGCAGAAATGTTAAATGTTAATAAAGTTCAGTTTATCAATGGTTTCTTTTACAGGTAGCATTGTTTTGTCCTGTTTCTGACTAAGAACTCTTAGGCTAAACAAAAATCATGAAGCTTTTCTCCTATGTTGTTCTTTAGGGTGTTTTATCGTTTCCCATACTACACTTAGATTATAATCCCCTTGGTGATAATTTTTACATGCATGAAATGTAAACGGAAACTTATTTTTTTGGCATATGCAGGTCCAGTTCTTCCAGCACTTTTTGTTGAAAAGACTTCTTTCTGCAATGAAATGTGTTTATACATTTATTAGCAAGGCATTGATCATATTTGTGGGTCTTTTCCACAAGTTTAAGTCTGTTGGTATGTAGCAATCCTTTCACCAATACCTACAGTTTTGACTGCTGTAGTTTTATCACATATTTTAAAATCGGACATATATGTGCA